AGTGGCCGCATTTGAGAAACACTGCTCTAGTCACGTGTACCAGGATGTTAGTGGCAAGAGAACACCACCCACCTTCTTGAAAGATGTCAGCAGTTTGATGCTGACAAAGCCCAATTTGTTCTTCTGAACATGCTTCAGGAGGAAGGCATCCTTGGCCAGGTTCTCATCAGACAAGTAGAACTCCACTTGAGACACAATCCTCTGGATCAGATGGGAGTCGGGCACCGAGGAGTCGCACTCGAACGAGTCAGCCGCAAAAATGTCATTCAGGTCATAGAAGCTCCTACAAGCAAGACAGCCAGGATCCCGCCCAAGGTTAACTGCACTTGCAGCTGGGATAAACAAGCACACAGGCCTTGAGCTGGGTCTGCACACACCTTAGGAAATTGCACCAGGCCTGGATCACTTACAGTGGGCACCAGTCACTAGCTGGGTTACCCACTTACAGACAAACACCCAGGTACCCCAGTGTGGCTGCAATTGAGGCAACGCCTTTAAGGATTCATCAATACAAGGAAATCCCAGAGGAGCTTCCAGCCCTCAGTGCAGGTAAACACAGCACTTTCCCCACTGCTGTTCCTGGAAGTGACCTGCATTGCAGACTGGGTCAGCATCACTCAGGAGAGGGAGGTGGCTGGGTTAGAGACCAGGAGTGCAGCTCTGGATTGGAAGTACCAATATTGGCTGGGCATGGAAAGATACCCACGAGTCCCTACCTATTTGGGCTACAAGGCTGAGGAAGAGAGCATGGTGCAGCAGCTAGAGGAACAGAACTGGGACACCAGAGACCAGGGCTCTATTCCAATTATTATTACTGCTTGTGCAGATTGGCTGTCAAGGTGCTCACCTGGGGGAAGGCTGTTCAAACACCCTAGACAGGGGATCAAGAGATATCCAGGATTTGTTTCAAGAGGGTACGGAACAGTCTCTGGAATGACTGCAACATTAGGATGCAAGCAGATGGTGCTATTCTAAATAGCATTAAGCTTTGCTTAACCAGACATTTGAGCATTTAGCTCTTGAAAGAAATGCTGCTTGCCAGCTGCGGTGCAAATACTCAGTGTATGACCCATAAGGCCTGTTCTCACCCCGATTCTGTTGCTGCCCACTAATTATACCCATGCGAGCAAGATAGTCACGTGGTGCCAAAACATTACAGTGATAAAGGAAGGAAGTCCAGGTATGGTACATTTGGGAGGGACAACGTGCTGGGTCAGTCAGGCTCCCTTCCACAATCCCGAGAAGAGCTAGTTCCTGATTAACTCCCCCTCTTGCCCCCACCATCTCCTGAAGCTGGGTCACTTTGAAAGAGTGGGGAATGAGATAAGGCCTGGATCTCATTCCCACGTTACAGTGCTCACCCTGAAACACTGGGGGGCAGGGGGGGGGGAATCTCTGCTGCAGTAGTAGGAAGAGAACCCTTGGGAACAGGAGAGCCCCTTAATTAGCGATGGGAGAGTTGTCCTAGATTCAGTCCTGCCTCAAGTGCAGGGGACTGGAATAGATGACCTGTTGATGTCCCTTCCAGTCTCCCATTTCTTTGCTTTTATCTAACTCCCTGGCAGAGACACCTTGGGGGAAGGTGGGGCGAAGCTCTTTAAGGGAGAAGCTGGGAAGACGTTTCTCCTATTTGATACCAACTCCCTTCCCCACTCCCAGGATTCTCCCACGTTTCCATGCATCTGGCCAGCAGACATACAATAGAGGGGGACCAGAGGCCCACAGAGAATCGGCTCCACTGATAGCTTCCAAGTTGCAAACATAGTGGCCTCTCTCGGGCCTAGTGCAGGGAAGTGGGTCCCGTTAAAAAGAGCCCCCCAGCCTGCACTGGGCGGGTAGCTCCCTGCTTGCGTGAGAAAGCCAAGCGAGAGCCAGGAGAGAAGAGTATGGATTTTAGCCACAGGTTAAAAGTCATAGGGGGTCAAGTCCCCCTTGCCCAGCTCTGATCTGCTGTGGGATCGAAGGCAAGTACCCCCTATGCACCTCTCTCTCATCCATTTAGACAGTTGGCGCTTCAGGCCGGAGGCCATCTCACCGTGCATTTGGACAGTACCCAGCAGGCCCCCAATGGTCTCAAGGTGTTATTGCTACGCAAGCCAATAATAACTCAGCATGAGAGCATTATACACCCGCTGTGCCCTGGGGTAAAGGGCTACCCACGTGGCAGGACACTGCAGAGCCAAGCCTGCCGGGAACTAGCTGACTCCAGCCTGTTGGCGCTAGGTTAGAGGGGAACTTTCAACTCCAGAGCGCTAGCTCGAGTCCAGATCAGCGGCCAACAGACGCGGAGAAGATCAACGGCCCTTTTGGAGGCGCACATAAAGTGAGCTGGGGTCTCGGTCTAACCCCCAGCAGCTGTCATTGGGCACCAGTTGCCCCTTCTGTTTGCAGTCTCAGCAGAGACAGAGAATTGAAGGGAGCCCTGAACTCCCTTCTCTCTTCTAGAGCGGGTTCCTCTAGGAGATGCATCATACTGCCTGCACGACTAGGAATCTGTAGGTATTCCTGGAGATAATGCCCTAGTTATCAGGGAGGGGCAGCCCCACAATAAATAGATAGTAGACACATACCCATCAAAGTTCTCAAAGAAGTCTTCCTGGCTGAGTGGGGGGAGAGGCTGGCCCTTGTGTGGAAGGAAGTGCAGAGTAGAAAAGGGGGTCGTTTGCACTTGCATGGGGGTGCTACACCTGGGCTGGGAACCAAGCCCCAGGGCCACCAAGGAACCATGGGACGACATGGTGCTTCATCTAGCAAGGTATAAGAAATACAGAGAACAGTCACAAGCATCTCCAATGCCTCTTACTGAATGAGACAGTGCTTAATTAGCAACAGGGCTACGCCCCCACAGCTCTGGGCTTGGGAGTTCATAGCCCAAGTACCTCTGGGCTTGGCACATCAGTTATAAATGTAAAACAATTGCTTAAGCCCCAGCACTTCTTTCATTACCAGTTCAGCAGTATAAGGAGAGTGTAATTGGGAGCCCACAGTACATATCCCTTCTCTCCCCCCAGCGAGGATCAACACTACACCCCAAGAAGCATATGATGGGCTCTAGGAAAGGGCTGGGCCCAAGAGCAGAAGAAAGCGGGTGCAAACACCAGCTGCTTACCTGTCTCACCAAGTGAAGATGCACTAAGAGCCCACCAGCTCCTTCTGCTACATTGTGGAGACCCCTAAGTTATTTCCTTTCCCTCCCCCCAGCGCACAAACTGGCCCCACTAACAATACAGAGAGAGAATCCCCTAGACCACTAGCTTATAATAGAAGCCAGAGCCACCCAGGAAACCACACAGCAGAGCTTTGGGGGCTGCCCTGGCTGCTAAGAGGAGGCAAACGAGCATCCAGGTGAAATGCGTTCTCAGTTTAAACAGCTTCACCTGCTCTGCATGAGACTCCTGCAGGAAATCGGGCAGCGCTCCAGCCTGAGGAGAGGCCTTTGGCTTCCTAGCAGGTGTGCCTGGGAGCTGAGCCATGCTCTGCTCAGGGCTTTTAATGGAGTTCATCAGGTATATTATGGGAGAGGGGGAGTGGGTGAATTGTGGAGTTAACTCTCCCTTTGTAGGCATGTTATGGACCCTGAGCTCAAGACAGGGAAAAGTTGGTGAGCCCTGTCCATGACTCTGCTGGGACAGAGAACTTTCTGGGGGGTCCTTTTGCATCGCCTGCTATAATAAAATTACTAATTTAGATCAGCTGCTGAAATGCTGCCTCTTGCCCTTTGGGCAGGCTAGAAAGGGGCTGGTAGCCAGAATCAGGACCCCAAGTTCTAAGGCTACTTCCTTTGCACTTGCCTGGGCTGGTGGGAGCACGGTTCTGGCACGTGAACTGTCTGGAAAGGGGCAGGCAGCTATCCGTCTGTTAAAGGCAAGCTATAAACTGCAGGGAATGTGCTCTAGCTGTGTAAGCAGGGGAGTGGAGCTGACACTGCTCCGATAGCTCCAGCAGGGTCTCCTCCCACCTAAATAAAACCTGGCTGCAGCTGGTTTCTACCCAGATCTACAAAGGCCAGGCCTGCGTGCAGCTCCTAGAGCTGAGATGATGCTGTTGTCACAGGAAGTTCCCTGCTTTGACCAGTTCCCTGCCTGGGGGGGTTGGCATTCAGCTGGGGAAGGTGTGAACTAAGGGGCAGGGAGTGAAGATATGGGAACCAGGTGCCTTTTCCTGTCCTGGGCGCAGATGGCTGGAGGGAAACCCTGGGATGGAATCCATACCGAAAGGGGGTGGGGAAAAACAAAAAACACAACCCCAATCCCGATTGTGGGCCCAGTCTGACCTGTGTCAATCACATGGCACAAATGTGCTCCCTGGATCCTCTGCCCCAGGCTGGTCTCCCAGCATGTCAGAGCAGCCCCTAGGCTGCTCTAAATTCCACCAGGCCCTCTTTCCTTGATAATACCTCCATGCCAGGGGCACCCTATTGCCTGTATGCCAGCCAGGCTCGCTGTATGCCAGACTGGACTTCCCCATCCCTATGCCAGGGGAATTCCGAGTCAGCGAGCTCTGTCCCCAGGCGCCACACAAGTGCATTTGTCCGCCTGCTCGCTTTTGACAGTGTATTAACAGAAAAAGAACAAAATGAGCTAAGTAGCTGTAACCACCTGCTGGGGCCGGGCGTGTGAACTGTCTGTCGGACGCCAGGACCAGAACAGATCAGAGCTGGAGCATAGAAGGGGCTAGAACTGGGAGTGAGGCACTGAAATTTGGACCGGGAACACGGAGGCTGCGCTTCAGGAAAATGTTCCATGTGCTGAGCTCCAGGGGGCTGTGGAACAAGGGAGCGGGGGGGAACGGACCACAGGGGAACCATGTGCACTGGTCTGATGGGACTGGTGGTGGATGGACCAGCTGCGTGACCCTGGCTCTCTCCTCTCGGTCTCTGGGGCCTCGGCGCTCGTTTGGGCTGTCTGACAGAGCTTGTTACTCAAGGGCTTTTCCACATCAGCTGCCTCCAAAAAGAGGAACCGTGCTGCTGAAAAAACAAGAACTCCTGTCTTCAACGTCTTCCCCGCAGTGCTTTGGATACAGCTCAATGAGCAGGAGGACACATGCTGGGGTGACCGGCCTGCCCTTGTCAAGAGCCAGCCGCAGCCCCATGGTGTTCCTCTGACCGAGGAGAAAAGAGAGCCCTGCTGAGTACTCGCTCTGCACGGCTCGTACAACAGCAGAAGACAGGAGAACGCTACTGCCAAGTAAGTGCTGGGGTTCGCTGGGCATGGGGAGAAGGACTCTTCCTCAGGAGGGGCTGACTGTTGTCTGCATTTTAGCCACAGTTAAAAAGTAGAGCTGAGTCCAAGCCAGGTAGGTCTTGGTTCGAGCTCTGCCAAAGGAGAGGGATCTTCATGCTGGGGATTTGGGGCTGAGCACATCCAAGGCTGGAAGTGGGCTGGGTCACACAGGGTTGCAGAACCAGCCAGAATAACAAGCTCTAACCCAGGGGTCGGCAACCTATGGCAGGCCTGTCAAAGGCCGCACGCGAGCCAATTTTTAACGGCAGGCTGTGGCCTGCCGGGCCCCAGCCGCCGGCCCCGCTCAGCGCCCGCTGCCGAACCCAGGCCAGGGCCCCGGCAGGCAGCAGCGAGCCATTAAAAACCCTGCCCGCCCCGGCCCGCTCTTCTCTACCCCCCGGTGGGGGCAGGGTGAAGAAGCTTGGTCCTGCCGGCGGCTGCTGCAGGGCAGGCAAGGTCCCCACTCCCCCACCTCTTCCCCCAGCCTGCTGGGGTCCTGCCCCTCCTCCTCTCCCTCCCTGCCCCTGATCAGCTGATGGCCCTTGCGAGGGAAGGGGGAGAAGCGGAGCGGAGCGGAGCCGCAATTGCGCTTGCTGCTCCAGGGAGGAGGCGGAGAAGAGGTGGGACAGGGCCTTGGGGAAGGGGGGTGGAATCAGGGCATAGCCCCTCCAGCCCCCTGCTGTGAGCTGCTCTGGACAGGGGGCTGGGAGCACCCCCACAACCCTAGCCCACAACCCCAGCCCTCTGCCCTGACCCCTGCACCCCCCTCACACGCCCTCTGCCCTGACTTCTGCACCCTCTTCACACACTCCCAGCCCTCTGCCTTGACCCCTGCACCCCCCACGACCCCAGCCTTGACTCCAGCACCCCCCACACATACCCAGCCCCCCATGCCAACTCCTGCACCCTCCTCACACACCCCTAGCCCCCTGCCCTGACTCCTGCACCCCCACACATACCCAGGCCCCCCACACCCGATGCCCTGACTCTTGCACCCCCCACATTCTCACCCCCACCGTGAGCACCAAACGGAAGCTCCTGCACCCCCCCTCCCCATTCCTACCTGGACCCCTCGCACCAAATGGGAGCTGCCCAGGTAAGCACTCCACACCCAAACCTCCTGCCCCAAAGCTAAGCCCCCTCCCTCATTCTAGCTCCTGGCCAGCCCCTGCACCCCAACCCCCAGCCTGCTCCTTCACCCCCAGCTCAGTGCAGAGACAGAGGAAGAGAATGGGCTAGAACCAGGGAGAAGGTAGGTACCCACTCTATGTGGGCAGGGCTGAGATCCCAGACCGGCAGCGGGCTGAGTGGGGCTGACAGCCAGGACCCTGGCTGGCAGGAGCCGGCGGATGGACCCCCAGACCGGCCGTGGGCTGAGCCACTCAGCCCACGGCCGGTCTGGGGTCCCGGTCGTCGGCTCCGCTCAGCCCGCTGCCAGCCTAGGTGAACGGAACCCCAGGTTGGCAGCGGGCTGAGCGGGCCGGCGGCGTAAGATCAGTATTTTAATTTAATTTTAAATGAAGCTTCTTAAACATTTTGAAAACCTTGTTTACTTTACATACGACAATAGTTTAGTTATATAATGTATAGACTTAGAGAGAGAGACCGTCTAAAAAACGTTAAAATGTGTCACTGGCCCGCAAAACCTTAAATTAAAGTGAATAGATGAAGACTTGGCACGCCGCTTCTGAAAGGTTGCCAACCCCTGCTCTAACCCATGGCTCCCAGAGCTGGAATAGAACCCAGGAGTCCTGTTTACACACACACACACACACACACACACACCCCTCTAACAGAGCTGGAATAGAACCCAGGAGTCCTGTTTTCACACACACACACCCCCCTCTAATAGAGCTGGGAATAGAACCCAAGAGTCCTGCTTCCCAGTCCTCTGCACTAACCACTGGACAAGGCTGCCTCCACCAAACCATCCATCCCCTTGCCCCTCCCTTCCCCCTCCTCCCCCCAAGTCGTTCCCTCTTTTAAACCCTTTTGTAGATTTACTCCCTTTGGCTGGGGAGTTTTAAAGCTGAGTTGATTCTGTGGTAGCTTCTGGCAGCTAAGAAAGATGGCACTGTTGTACATTTGGGATGGGAGGGAAGTCTGTGGGCCACGGTGGATGTGGGGATTGGACCACAGCAGTAATGGATCTGAATTAGGCTGGGCGATGGACGCATGACTTACCCAGCTTGAGGGTGAAGCTGGATTGTGGGTGGGAGGGGCAGATATGGAGTCTGAGTTCAGCTTGTTGATGGGACCTAAATACTAATGCCCCGGCTTTCAATGGTCCATGTTTATAACCGTTCTCCTAATGCTGTTGAGTGAATAGATGCTTCCTCCCGTTGTAACTATTGTCAGGAAGCACTGTCTGGGGGGGATTGCCATTGCCGACGTAGAGTCTTACTGACTGCTTGGTGGAGACGGGGTCATGAGACCCCAGCTAGCTGTCAGCATAAGGATCCCCACCTGGGTGTCACTTCAAGGCAGGAAAAAAATAAACCCATAAACACCCTGCGAAGAAGAGACAAGTTTAATTCTGCACTCTTCACTTCCCCCTAGATCTGAGGAGGGTGAAGGTAAAGCCCAGCCTGCACTGTTTACTACCTGCCTAATGCTCACCCTGGCAACATAATGGAAAGGATTGGCCATGCTGGTATTTTCATGTGGCTCAGGGCAGGACCCAGGAGTGATGATCCACAGCGTTGCCACTAAGGCTTGAGATAAAAACCCATGGCCCAAATTGCCCCTTCCTGTGTTAAAAAACAGTGACCGAGGACTCCTCATGAAGAAACAGATTCCGTCACCTTAAGCTGTCAGGGGGATTTGTCCCTGAGGTGCATTGAAAACTGTTTTAAAATTGTAGGCTGTCACTTTAAATTTCAGAGGGTTTTCCTGGTCCTGCTTGCAGCTTAGGGGGTTCTGTAGGGAAGCATGTGTTCTGGGCTAACAGCAGTCAGTCTGCAGACAGCCAGGCTAGTAAGGTGGGGTGCGTTATACCTCTCTATTTTAGGGAACAGCCTGCTTTGTCTCTCTCTCTGTTTTGGGGTTCTTGTCTGTAATGGTGCCGTGTTCTAAGAAATAAAGTAGTGTTATGTTGCAACCATGCAGCTAGAGTAGTTATATATTGAACTTTTCTGTAAGTATGCCATGAACATAGCAGTATCCCACAGCCTGTGTGTACCCCCACCCCTGGTGGAGGCCCCAGGATCAGTGTGATGCCATGGCCATGTGCACACAAGCCATACAGCCCTGCAGCAGCTCTGGCCCCTGGTATCCCAACTTTTCCCTGGTAGCACCTCTCCATTCGAACCATGTTAGGAGGGGGACCCAGACTGCTACAGCTTCCCATGAGCAAAATTGATGAAGCCTGGGGCGGTATTTCATGTAAGCTCTGTGGGTCGAGGGGATGATAGCTGGGGGCATTGTGGGTCAGGACTTAGGTCCTGTTGGAGAGGCGTCAAGGCTAGAATAGCAGAGGGCTGCAACTCAGGTCTGAAGTGCATTGGCAGAACTGTATGGGGGGGATGGATGAGCAGGGGCTGTTACAGAGCAGGCCTGAGGTTCCTGGGCTGAGCTGTACATACATGGGGTGCCCAGGGCTGGAAGAGCAGAGTGGGGTGCTGCAGAACAGGATTGAGAGGCATTGTGTCTGAGATGCTCCCACGCCACCTGACTTCACAGGACACGTGGGGGTGGGGAAGCACCACGTTTTAGTTCCCCCTGAAGAAAATGTACAAAACTGAGGTGAAACCTTCCAACCAAGCCAGCTCCAAGATGGGATTTGGGCAAAGAAAGATTTCACTTTTCCAAGAGTCGGAAATGTGATGGCTTTCCCTCGGTAAGGGCCTGTGCAAACCAGCCTGACAGGTCTCTCCTGAAAGAGGTGTTAGGATATAGATATCCAGGCCTGCCTGTAAAGGCCTATATTTTAAGAATGTAGGTATATGTTTATTATTTAGCTAGTAATAGAGGTCTACAGGAGGAAATCTCCTTGCTGCAGCTGTGGAGACGGTGCACGAGGAACCCACAACGTGACCCATTGTCACTGAAACTTCCATGCTTGGCTGAGCCTGGGTGGCAGGGGGTTTCCGGGGCTGAGGGAAACTGACAGTTAAAGTTCTCCCTCCCTCCTTCCTTCCTTCCTTGCCTTGAATGATTCAATCACTGAACTGCCTCCCGCCCTGGCAGACACAGGCTATTTCATGATCCTCAAAATGCCGGGCTAGAAGGGACCTCGTGAGGCCATCTAGTCCAGCCCCCTGTTCTGAGGCAGGACCAAGTCAACCTAAACTCTCCCTGACAGGTGTTTGTCCAACCTGTTCTTTGAAACCTTCAGAGATGGGGATTCCACCACCTCCCTAGATAACCTGTTCCAGGGCTTGGCTCTCCTGCTAGATAGTTTTTCCTGTTATCAACCTAAATCTCCCTTGCTGCAAGTTAAGTTGATTCCTTCTCCTCCAACCCTCAGTAGACATGGAGAACAACTGATCACTGTCCTCTTTGATATCAACCTTGTCCATATTTGAAGACTGTGTTATCATGTGGTCCCTCCACCCCAGCCGTCTCTTCTCTAGTCCAGTGTTTCTCAACGGCCTGCCCGTGGACTGGCACCGGTCCCTGAGATCTCGCTGACACAGTTTAGGAAGGCACCAAGCAGGTCCCTGGTATCAGAAAGGTTGAGAGACACTGCTGTAGACTAAACGGGTCCATTTCTTTCAACCATTCCTCAGAGTCCAGGTTTGCTAAAGCTTTTCTTGTTCTTGTTGCTCTCCTCCGGAAACCGTGTCCAATTCGTTCACATCTTTCTTGAAGTGCAGTGCCCAAAGCTGGACACAGCTGAGGCCCGGCTGGTGCTGAGTGGCGCGGAACAGCTACTTCCTGTGTCTTGTATTAACAGAGTGTCCAGGTAGATGGGCTATGCCTCTCTCTGGCTAACTCACTGCTTCCTGTCCAGCCGAAGTTAGCAGTGACCATCCGATGGCAGGATTTGCCATGTGGAATAAGGACTTAAGGCTGGGGTGTGCTGGCAAGAAGCCAACACTTTATTTTCTGGCTCCAGTCATGTGACTAAATGTCCCTGTCATGTGACAGGACTTGAGATCAACTGACTCCAGAAATACCGTCTTAAAAAGGGGGCGGGGGGGAATTATGCCAGCCAGTTACTAACGGTGGTGCCACGATGATGGTGACGCTGGTCTCAGAAGGGTTCCTTCTCCAGCGGCCTGTTCCACTGCCGAGGCAGAGCTGCCACATGCAAGATTTCGGTTGTCAGTGGCTGGGTGGCAACTCCGCTGACAGCCGCCTGCTAGGGGCCCTCAAGAAAGAGGGGAGCCATTGTCCTCCTTGGTTTTATTTGGAGGTCTTCTGTTCCTCCTTCGGGACTGCCCATTCCCACCCTCCTCAGATCTACGGGGAAGTGCGGAGTGCAGAATTAAACCTGTGTGTCTTCTTTGCAGGGGGTTTGTGGGTTGGCTTGTTTTTTTCCTGCCCCGTCATGGGGGCAGCAATTTGGGATTCTTGCTGTAATATTTCTTCTCTGGTCTGGTTTTAGATCATGGAAATACTACCTAGTCCTTGTCTGGCATTCTTTATCCGGAGATCTCAAAGCATTTTACAAAGTAGGTAAATATTATTCTGCCTGTTTTTCAGATGGGGAAACTGAGGCATGGAATGGCATAGTGACTTGGCCCAGGTCCCACAGCAGGTCAGAGCCAGGACAGAACTCGGGTCTCCCAAGTCCTTGTCTAGTTCCCTATGCACCGGGTCACTTGGCCTCCCATTAGTCCTAGGGAAAGCAGTATGGCCTTGAGGCTAGATCACTAGATTAGAACCCAGGTTTTCTGAGTCCCATTCCTTGCTCTTCCACTGGCCTCCTGGGTGACCTGGGGCAAGTCACTTCCCCTTTCTATGCCTCGGTTTCCGCATCTGTAAAATGGAGGCTCTGTCTCTGGCCTCCTTTTGTGAAGTGTTTTGAGATCGACTGAGGGAAAGCACTAGTTAAGAGGTGGTGGTGGTGTTAAATCAAGTTCTCTGATGTTTGCTGGCTTTTTTACTAACACATCTGGATGTGCCAGGATGAGCAATTAGGGGGTTCAGCTAACTTTGTTTCTCCTATTGTCTTACACATGCACCGGTCCACCAGCTGGGTCCACCAGCTGGCCTGTTCCAATCACTCCCAGACTCAGAAAATCCTTCCTGGCCCAAGCAGTGCCCGTTAGCCTGGAGGTCGCAGTCATTTACGTGGCCAATCTTTTTATTCAATAACCAACCCCAGCTCTTTAACTGCATCTCTTACTTTGATTCAAGTTCACTGTTTGCTCTGGAGGGATACATGGTGCTTGGTCTTAGCCACGGCCGGGTGTCTGGCAGGAGGAGGAAGCTGAAACGCGGATCTGTGGGGAAAAGGAAAGATGGATCCGGAAGCTGAGGTCACCTACGCGGATCTGAAATTTCTTCCCAGATCGCAGGAAACGGATGTGAAGAAAGCAGGTAACAGTCTGCCACAGAAAGACCCTGACAGGTGCTTCTCAGGTGGGAGCCCCAGTGAGGGGCTTGGAATATCAACGTCCCCATGTGTTACATGTTACATAAAGAGACGACATGGCCCAGTTGGATTGGGACCCAAGAGACTGGGCTCTATTCCCGGGTCTGCCACTGTCCTGCTGGATGATCTTAGGCAAGTGCCTTTGCCTCTCTCTGCCTCAGTTTCCCCTGCCACCCTCTGCCTATTTTGGCTATTTAGATTGGAAGCTCTTCAGGCCAGAGACTGCCTCTCAAAATGTGCATGTAAAGTGCTGACCACAATGGGCCCCAAGGCTTGGGGGGGGGGGGTCTCTAGACTCTACCTAACACTAATAATAAGCTCAGATAAAACGTTCTCTTCGGGCCTCCAAGCACAGCCGGTTGCACGAGGACACTGGATGCTGTAGCTATTTCTGAATGCTAAGGACCAGCTGGTGTAAATTAACGTATGCCGCTGGAGCAACTGTGCTGAGTTGCGCAAGCTGAGGATCTGGCCTATGACTTTCTTCCTTCTGCTGCTGATACTGCGTAGGGTCTGTACCAAATGCACACCAGTGTGATGTGTGTGTGTTTGTTCTTTTTCCTTTCTCCCTGGACACCCAGAATCAAAGCCCCCTGCCCAGAAGACGTCTCCGTGGGCTTGGCTAGCAACAGTGGTGATTCTCTGTGTGCTGTTCCTAGTGGCGTTAATTTCCCTGAGTATCCTGTGTAAGTACTTTTGATGGAAAGGACGAGGGTTGGGGTTCCCCCCCCCCCCGCCGCCCTGTTAAATGGAGAGAACAATGCTTTCCCCAGCTGAAGTGTGCTCAGAGATCCTCAGCCCACTGGGCCTCCCTGAAACACTCCTCCTAAGTCCTCTGGTTCGCTATTTCATAATAAACTCGTTTCCAACAGTCAGCTAGTGGATGGCAGGACATCCTTGCCTCTGAGCAGTGTACTCAGGAAGCTATTGTGTCAGAAGCTGGCAACGGTGACTCAACACGGGTCATGTGGGAACAACTTGTCGGTAGTGAAATAGTTGTACAGTACTTTTTTGACTTGGAAAGTGGGGTGCCTCTATTCTAGGTGAACCTCCTTTCCTCGGTTTCAGAGTAGCAGCCATGTTAGTCTGTATCCGTAAAAAGAACAGGAGGACTTGTGGTACCTTAGAGACTAACAAATTTATTCGAGCATAAGCTTTCGTGAGCTACAGCTCACTTCATCGGGAAGATCTCTGCCCCCGAGCCCTAGATTTGAGATCTTAAACCTCCAGCAAATGCATCCTTTTCCCTTAGCATCTCCTCCACCTCCCTCCCTCACTCACTCTCCACAATTTCATCCCTAATGACTTGCTTCTAGGGTGGCCAATCCGTGCCTAGCATGATGGGCACCTCAAATCCCCAAGGCTGGAGGGGTCAGTTAGATCAACCTAAAGAAAATAGTTTAATGCAACAGAAAAACCAGATGGCCGGTGTGACGGCTGGGGTTTGGAGACAGCTCCCATAATGTCCTCTCTGGCAGCCTGAGTCCCCACACTGTTCACACAGACCTTTCAGACCTGCGCAGCCTCCTGATTAAAGGCCAGGAGAGACCATCGATTGAGGCCACAATTGGCCTAGCTTTCATTGTCAATGGTGAGACTGATGCTGAAGTAGACTGCCTTTGGGAAGGGGCCGCCCCACTCAGACGTGGTATCTTCTCCCTCTGCTAGATTCCCGGCTCCTAGCTGGCAACATGCAGCTTCTAGAGGAATCCAAGCAAGCCAAGAGCAAACTGCAGCAAGCGGAAGGGAGATACTCCCAGTTACTGCAGTTGGCGTTGCACACAAAGATCTGCGCCCTGGAGTCCCCGTCCTCCAACACCTCAGAGCCCCGCAGTGAGTACGGTGCCATTGTCCCCGTTTCACAGAGGGTGAAAGGAAAGCCCTGAGCAGGGAAGTGACTCTTAAGATGGCGGGGCTGGCAGTAGAACCCAGGAGTCCAGGTTCCTAGTCTCAGCTCTGAACACCCACCTGTTCGGATGGGCCTCAAGAAAAGGGCAGATGTGCTGCTGCCCGCTTCAGCTGCGAAGGCCGCTCTCTCCTGCTGCCTCGGGCAAAGGTCCGGAGCGGAGATGGCAGCTGCCTAGCCGGCAGGAGGGGCACAAGCGCCGAGTCCAGGCGCTGGTTGTTCTTACGCGGCCCCCTGTTCTGAGCCAAGGTGTGCTCAGTTTCCCTCTCCTCCCTCCTCAGATATCAGCTGTACCTTCTGCCCCTACCAATGGATTTCAAACAAAGGGAGGTGTTACTACTTTTCTCCAAGTCCTTTATCATGGAATGACAGCAGGAGAAGCTCCCAGAGGGAACAGGCCGAGCTAGTGGTCATTTCCGATCGGGAGGAGCAGGTAACGTGAGCCTCTTACTATCATGGAGCCTCCTAGGGCCGTAGATTTTTATTTATTTTTTTTTTTAATGCCTCTTTTTGCAAGCCCATGCTCTGGGAAGTGCTGAGGACCCCCACGTCAATTGCCCTGGCCCAAGGCATTTCCACCGGAGCTGTCCCATGACCCTTAGCACAGGGCTTGTGTGTTCCTTAGCTACTGCATAGCGCTTAAGAGCTGCTGCAGGATTGTTCCCTGCCCCTGCGGGGCAAGGGGTTGACTCACTTCTTGCCTCAATCTCCTTCCAGCCTAGGGGGTGAATGCCTGGCTTGCTAGTTGGCCATTCTGCCTTGTGCATGGGTAGTGGTCAAGACACTGCAGACCCACTTCCAGAAGGCAGTGAATGGCCCCAAATGGCGGGGCATGTGCCTAAGGAATAGGAGCTTTTCCTGTGGGCCCCAAATTCTAGCTGAATTTTTCACATGGCCCCAGTGCTGAAGGAAGGGACTAAGCTGGACTCCTCCAGCACTGTTCTGTGGGCCCCCTCCGATCGGAGCGCTCTGAGGTGGCCTCTAACAATGCCTACCAGCTCAGGCCCCACAGGGAGATAGGTGGGGGGATGCCACGTTCGAGCACCAGGCCAGGCGCTGAGCAGCAAAATGGCCTCAGAACTGAGGCCGCTGGGGGACTTTGCTGGTGGAAGTCTTGACCTTGTCCATACCAGGAACCCCCAAGATCGTGCCCTTTCCCTCGTTGACAGACATGGGAAGGGCAGGGTGGCCGTGACCAGGTTAAGAACCACTGCAATAGAGGAGCCAGTTCTGACTTCCATGATCCCTGGTGTCCCATAACAAACCACTAACTAAAACAGGGCTAAAATCTCTGGGGATGAAAAGTGGGGAGCTCACGTACCACAGTGAAGGACCCCTCCTCTCCCAAGTGAACAGGGCCAGCTGGGATCCCTTCCCCCTGCTGCTTTTGGGAAAGGGCCCTGTTTTGTCAGTTCAGTGGCCTGGTGCAATTTGTGGCTGAGAGCAGAGTGGAGCTTCTTTGTAGAAACATTGAAGCATCCCTCATGCGGCGCTGTCTGTAACCTTCTCCAGGACTTTCTCAGCAAGCAGCAAAGCTTTGCGGATTATTGGATTGGCCTGACGGATGTGGCCCAAGAAGGCTCCTGGAAGTGGGTGGATGGCACTGACTTAAACCAAATGGAGAAGTAAGTGTAATACAGCAGGGTCCTTCGTAGTGCTCTCTCTGGCTGAAGGACACTCGCTGAATGTCTTCCCCACACAGCCGTACAGCAGCTCTCTAAGAGCGGAGCAGGAGGGAGCAGGCATTGATTCAACAGCCGCACTGAAGGGGGACAAATGTCACCCACACACCTTCTGGGGGTGGCGTTCGGTCCCATCTAGTGGCACCGAGACCACTTCAAGAGAGAGAGAAAATGAGTCTGCTCTACAGCCAGTTGGCTTTTGGCTCATGCACTAAGCTCCAGAAGCCCCAGGTTCGATCCCACCTGCTGACGACTGGGGTCTGTCAGCGTTACACAAACAGGATAACCTGTCCCCCTTTCTTCCTCCTGCCCTCGCCCCCCACCAGATCATCTAGTCTGACCTCCTGTATAACTGGCCCCAGGACAATTCCTGTTTGAATAAGAGCAGATCTTTTAGAAAGACGTCCCATCCTGATTTTAAAAATGGTCCGCGATGGAGAACCCACCATGACCCATGGTCAATTGTTCCAGTGGTTAATTACCCTCGCTCATAAAACGTATGCCATATTTCCAGTCTGCACTTACTTCGTTTCAGCCTCCTGCCGTTTGATTGTGTTCTACCTCTGCTTGCTACTTTGAAGAGCCCAATATCAAATATTTGTTGGCCATGTCGGTACATATTGACTGACCAAGTCACCCCTCAGCCTGTATCTTTGTTAGACTCTAGGAGCTCCGTCTATAGCTTATCACGATAAGGCAGGTTTTCTAATCCTTTCCTCATTCTCTGATCCTTCCCCAGTTTATCAACCTCCTTCCTGCGCTGTGGGCACCAGAATGGGACACAGCTGCTTGCTCCCGAGCCAAACGCAGGCTGGGTTGACGCTAGGGCTAGCGGCAAAATCCAAAGTCACTTCCATTAAAAATTTCAAACAAAACTCTTTCATTCGATTTTTTTTTTTTTATGGCAAATTGAGTGAAAAAAAATTTAAATGAAAATTGGCCCATTTTGAATTTAAAGATGCTCACTTTGGTTTTGGTCTTTGTTTGTTTGTTTTTTTTTTTCTGTTGAAAAATATAAAATGTGGCCAAAATCAAACAGTAGTGTGTTTTGGTTTGGGGGTGTTTTTTGGACATCTTTTATCTTTTGATGAGGGAGCAGGGTGGGGAATTTCAGCCTGATCTCTTAGGATGCTGCAGGTCAGATTCTGTTCAGCTATGTTGGTGTAAATCTGGAATAATCCTGGTGAAGAGGAAGAAGTAGGAATATGATTATAGAAATGTAAGGCTGGAAGGGATGTCAAGAAGTCGGCTAGTCCATTTTCTCCAGCCCCCCACCCCCCCCAAGTGCTGAAACAGAATTAAGTATAATTAGATCATTCCTGACAGATGTTTGTCTAACCCAGGGGTGGGCAAACTTTGTGGTCCGAGGGCCACAACTGGGTATGGAAATTTTATGGTGGACCATGAATGCTCACGAAATTGGGGGTTAGGGTGCGGGGGGGGGGGGGAGGTGAGGGATCTGGCTGTGGGTGCAGGCTCTGGGATGGTGCCAGAAATGAGGAGTTCAAAGTGCAGGAGGGAGCTCCGGGCTGGGGCAGCAGGTTGGGGGGTGTGGGAAGGATGGGGGCTCCAGCTTGGGGGTGGGGGGCTCTGGGGTGGGGCTGAGGATGAGGGGTTGGGGGTGCAGGAGGATGCTCTGGGCTGGGACTGAGGGGTTCAGAGGGTGGGAGGGGGATCAGGGCTGGAAGTTGGGATGCGGGAGGGGGTCAGGGGTGCAGGCTCCAGGTGGCTCTTACCTCAAGCAGCTCCCGGAAGCAGCAGTATGTCCCCACTCTGGCTCCTATGCAGAGGCATGGCAGTGGCCAAGCAGCTCTGCGTGCTGCCCCGTGCACAGGTGCTGCCCCTGCAGCTCCCATTGGCCGCGGTACCTGGCCAATGGGAGCTGCGGGGGCGGCACTTGGAGCAGGGGCAATGTGCAGAGCCCCCTGGCTGCCCCTATGTGTAGGAGCCAGAGAAGGGACATGCCTCAGCTTCTGAGAGCCATGTGGAGTGGGGCAAGCCCCGGACCCCACTCCCCAGCGGGAGGTCAAAGGCTGGATTAAAACATCCGAAGGGCGGGATGTGGCCCCCGGGCTGTAGTTTGCCCACCCCTCCAGTGGGGGGGGGATTCCACAACATTCCTAAGTCACCTGCTCCAGTACTATCACTCCTTGTTGTTCGAAAGCTTTTCCTGATAGCCACCCTAAATCCATGTGATCTGGACCCAGAAAATTGTGATTGCTCACCTGTAACTGAAGCTGTTTGAGATGGGCTCTGCATATCCCCACTCATGGGGCAGGCTGCAGTGTCTGTGCAGTCCCATGGGTGCGAACATACAGAGGCCTCTTGAGTCAATACACCCCTGATGTTGTAGGATGGGCCAGGGCCGTACTTTTCCTTGGGTGCAGCAGCCGGGGGGAGGGCCCATCACAGGAAGGAGAGCGGAGATGCAGAGAAATCTGCATCGTTAGTTTCTAAAATGCAGATCCTGACCGTTCCATTTATTTTTTCCCCTCCAGATTTTGGTTCTCTCCCCAGCCAGATAACTATCACAATGAGGACTGTGCAACTCTGACCACCAAACAACCCCTGCCACTTAACTGGAATGATGTCCCGTGCTACGAATTTTTCCCCTACATCTGTGAAAAGGCAGCCAACACTCTCACCATCTAAGCTTCCTCTGACTCGGAACATCTTGTTCACTGTGGCCAATGATGCAGCGTCCCCGAATGCCACTGGGCTCCTCCTGAGCCAGTTCATCTCCTGTTGGACAAACACCCAATAGAGGGTGCTGAGGACTCACCTTTGCAGCTGGCTTGGCAGAAGCCACAGGCTGTCCAGTCCCATTTTCCAAAGGGTATTTTTGCCTAGATCCACACAGGGTCTTCAGAGCTTAGCTCCTAGGTCTAGGCACCGCGGAGGTCCACAAAACCCCTGCTCAGCTGTGGCCTAACCTTGTAGGCACCTAAATTCACTTGGCACCTAAACTTTTGCTCTAAAAATCTCTCTAGAATCCTAAATTTTCTACCTCTGGGCATGCCTGCCCAGTGCCTGCCTCCCAGCACAGAGCAGGTGCAGAGAGGTGTAATGGAAGGCTCGACTGTATTCTGTGGTTCAGCCACTTGGTGATACTGTGTGAGTAACCCTTATTGAAGCTAACCTCGGCCATACTTGGCCGTCCATCAAAGATCTTGTAGTGAACACGGCTGGTGTGATCTGTCTGCGAAGGAAGCTCTGTAGCCAGTCCATATGTGGTGCAGAAGCCGGACCTGCTAGAGGCAGCCCTGAAATCTAGCGTGTACAAGGTGCACGTGATATGGTGTCAGGAGTAAACTAGTGCCAGAGGGGAACGCTAACAGGTGGTGGTCTCTGAGCACTCCTGATTCTGCACAAAAGGACCGGTGCAGGAGGAGGATTCCCTGATAACTCTAAGCCCAGGGGTAGGGCCTCTCTCCCCATGTATTGAATGGGCAGCCCAGGAGCCTAACCCAGGATTTGTGGATTCCATGGAGTGGCTAGGTAGTTAGGTGTTGCACCCCCAAGGTCTCTTAGTGTATCCAGGCCTTTAGATATGCCTGGTTTTCCTTCCCCACCCCTGCTTTTTACAGCTGCATTTTGGTTGGGTTTTTCTTTTTGAAATAAGACAAAGGGAGTCTAATATTTAAAAAAAAAAAAAAAGAAGTGTTAGAGGAGGAAATGCAGGAAAGTGTCAAGCCAGATCTCTTCAGCTTTGCCCCACGTCCTGTCGGAATCAGTGTCCCTGCTTTGTGTGTGTGTGTGTGTGTGGTTTTTAGGGTGGTAGCCATGATCCCTGGCTCTTAGCAATAAAGTGACTTACACAGGAGGTCAGTATCATAATTTTACAGAGGGGGAAACTGAGGCAAAGTGACTTGCCAAACGTCACCTAGCAGGCCAGTGCCAGCACTGGGAATAGAACTCACCTCTAGTGAATTCTATCCCCTGTATCAGAGACCTGGGTTCTATTTTCAGCTTTGCCGTGGACTTGAGCAAGTTACCTCTTTCTGTGACTCAGTTTCCCCATCTGTATAAGAAGGGGGTAATGAGGTTGTGAGGCTACAGCCACTTGTGTACAGAATGCTTTGAGGATGGCAGCACAGATTTATTACTGCTTGTGCGCACACAAACTATTTTGAAAGAATTCGAAGGTTTCAGTATCAAGCGTGTGACAGTGGGGAAGTCCCAGACTGGAAGCTGCTTGTTGCACAGTGTGAGTGGAGAGCTGATCGCCTGCAGCAGCAAACCAGGAACAAGTGATGAGATCTAAATAGAGATGGGATTTGATGACTTGAGAGCTGCTACCCTGGACAAACCTGAATGGATTTTCAGTGTTGCAAACCACTTCCCTGGCCGAGTCCCCTGCCACACTTCTGGGAGGAGATTTGCATAGCACTTTGCATGCTTGTAAGCAGGACTTTCCCAAGACCCTGATTCAGATCTTCTGCAGTAGGAAACATCTGCAGCAAATGGTCTTGCCCCCCAGCAAGCTGCAGTTCCTGAAGATGAGAGTTTCCTCCGTGCTATAACAGCAAGGGGGCCACATGACACTGATTCCAGGACAAGGCTGACACAGTCCCTTCTCCCTCCCCCGCTCCTGTGACTGGGTTGTTCTTGAGACACTGAGATTCGGCCACAACACGTGGAAGGCCTTGCAGTTAAAGCCTTAGAGCCGAGCATGAAATGTAATGGCCACAGAGGTCTTTCCTGGGGATGCAATGACCTTTGGCACTGCTGCAATCTACGCTGCTGTGCGGGTGAATGATCAAGGAACATTCAAGCAATGGTTAAACCCAGGGTAACTCAGGAGTGCCAGTTACAAAGGGCAGCTACAGGCTCCAGCCCTTGAAGAGGCTTTTGGCTTATCTAAAAAAGCCAGCGTTGCTCCTTTCTCTATAAAATAAGATTTAGCTGCATCCCACCCTCGCAGAGGGGAGTTGTGAAATGCCCTGAGGCTTCCCTGAAGCCTGAGAATGAGAACTAGCTGGTGGGCAACCAGCAGGAGGGCCTCAAAGGAAAGAAGTGGAATTTTGAAATATAGCTATATTTGTCCTTCACAAACTTGGGGCGCAATCCAGGTGTTGCATAGCTCCAGCTTTTCCAACCCCTAACTGTTTCATGGGCCCAGTTGCTGCCGGTCTAAGGCAGTTTGGTCTCAGAAGGGGATGCTGTTCTCCTCTCTAGGTCAAGCAAGCCTGTGAGCTCAAGCTGCAGGGTAGACCTGGCTTCTGACTTTAAAAAGCACCAAAAGTCAGAGCATTTCTGAGACTTCATTATGATGATGGTGTTTGAGTGGCCTGAAGAGGGGGCCGGTGAGCAGTGCTCTGAAAATACCATTCATTATGACTAGGGCCCTAACAAATTCAGGGTTCATTCTGGTCAATTTCAGGGTTGTAGGAGTTTAAAAATTGTAAATTACATGATTGCCATATTTAAATCTGAACTTTCAGACTGTTGTCATTGTAGGGGTCCTGACCCAAAAAGGAATTGGGGGGGGGGGGGGAGTTGCAAGGTTATTGTAAGGGGGAGGGTAGCAAGTACTGCCGCCCTTACTTCTGCGCTGCTGCCTTCGGAGCTGGGCAGCTGGCATGGTCTCGCCACCCTGCCTCCTGCACTGCAGCCGGCGGGGCCCTGCCTCCAGAGCTGGGTGCTCGGCCAACAGCCTCCGCTCTCCAGCCACCCAGCTCTGAAGGGCAGCAGTACCATGACCCTGCCCCCCTAAAATAACTTGACCCCCCCCCCACAACTCCTGTTTGGGTCAGGACCCCCCATTTGAGAAATGCTGGTCTCCCCTGTGCAATCTGTATAGTACAGTGTAAAAGTGCCCAAAAACCCAGATATCACTGGGGGAGACCAGAGTTCACGGTCCGTGCTGTGTTTTTCATGACTGTGAATTTGGTAGGGCCCTAATTATGACAGTTGCATCTGGAAGCTCTAACCAAGAGTTTGGCTCCAGGGTGCTGAGCGCTGTACACACAGCCCCTCCATCCTACAAGAGCTTGCACTCCAAACAGACACAGAGAAACTGAAGCAGAGAGAAACCTGATCCTGGTCACTGAGCTAGTGAGTAATGAGAGCAAGGAATAGAAGCTGTGACTTCTTCTGGCAAACCTGCCCCTACTCACTGGACCCTGGGCCTTCCCTCATCAAGTTACTTGTGCATATTGTCAGATTAGCTGCTTCATTTGTTTCTCAAGGATTCAATTTGTAAGCCTTTTTCCTTGTGGAAGGGGGAAAAAATTACACACTCCCATATTTGGCCTTTTCTGACACTTTAATTGTTAACAACAACTTATCTACATATTTCAGCAGCTGCCAAATAAAAGAGAGAATGAAGTCACTGCCAGCAAGACTCTATTCTGTAGCAACTACTGGAAGTGAGCAAATCAGCATCTGCAATCAAGGGTGTTACAGAAACGGTTTAGAAATGGGGCCCACAACACAGGGTCCAGAAAACTTCTCAGCCTTCCCATCCAGCGGCTGCATGCTAGGGGCTGTGTCCCTGCCAAAAGGCAGGCTGATGGTGACGTGAAAGGGGTGGTGAGGCCCAGCCAGCTGCTACCCTCTGTCTCCATATGCTATGGATGATTATGGGGTTAAGTTCAATGGGAGTTCCCAAGTCAAATCCTGCTCTCATCCCTCCCACAGGTAGCTCCAGTGATGACAGTAGCAGGACTAAGGTAGGTAGATGTTTATTCCTTCTGCATCTGAGATGAGGTGGAAGCCTTATGCATAGGCCATTTCACTGAGAGCGTTTATTATTTGGCCAGCACAGTAGCAAATTGGGAATGAGTTTGCTGAACAGCAGGCGTGAAATGGACCTGAGCAGTCAGTGCACTCTGGTCATGTGGCCAGCACAGAATCACTAACTTTTTAGCATCTGTTCTCTACTGTTTTTCAGACTCATGTGGAAGGAAAGCTTCCCTGGCCAGACCCAAACCCTTGTAGCTGTATCTATGCCACATGGGAGGTTATATAAAGATAGTTTGACATAAGTACAAAGGCCCCTCCACCACCTGCCTCTGTGAACCATGTTTATATGGTATTTGGAGGAGAATATGTTTGGGGGGGTGGACTGTCAAGTCTTCAGTGTTTCCCCCGCTTCCCTTCCATCCCCTGACAATGATTAAAGTCGGGGGGTGGGCGCAGTAAGGCATTCTCTGTAATTAAGGCTCTGAGGTGCCAACTCACTGTAGGGTCCTATCCTCTTCTCTCACAGCAAGCACCATAGTATAGAACCCCATAGCCCAAGCGGATAACTCCAACTGCAAACCAGCAGCTGTGTCATGCCAAAAGTCACCTGCAAAAGGCTAAGCCTGAAAAGTAAGATGACCAGGTTTGCTTTAAAATGACAATGCACTAGACCGCCTCTGTGGATCCCGTGCTTGCCCTCTGACTGCCTACAACAGCAGCCAACTGCAGTAGGGTTTGGGTAGATAAAGAAGGAACTGGGGCCATAAGAATTTGTTCTCATATAGGTCTGAGCATGCATGTTTATTACTGTTTTTAAGGGGGATTTTTGTGCATGTCCCTTTTGAGCATCTATCAAAATAGCTGGCAGACCTCATTTGTGGCAAGCAGAAGTTTGATGTATTTAGTGGTTACAAGCCGCAAAGAATAACAACTGCAGTTAACATCAAATTCTTCAGGAGCAAGGGAATGTAAGACTGGGGTGGTTGTCTTTAAGCCTCAGCATCTGAGGTTGAGACTGGCTAGGACACTCGGCAGTGTCATTCTTTACAAATTTAGTTTTGCTAATAAGTCTCACTTTCCCATGTCTCTCCCTGAGTTTGTGACATATTTATAGACACACAACACCCTCGCATGGACAAACGTACTGTAGCAAGATCTGCTACTTGACTCCTTTCCCTTAGCTCTCACACTTTAAAAAAGATTGCTACTGCAATATTAGTACCTTTTGGAATTAATGAGTATTATAGAGCAGATAGATTATACTTGGATATGCAAATGTACATGAGGGTCTTGGGAAAAGCTCACAGCAAATACTCAAATCAGAAAGAATAATGAAAGCTAGTTATGACACTGCCTTTATTCACAAAGATTTGCACTTTTTTTTTTTTTTTTTTTGCAGTTTGGTTTGATGCTAGAATTTTGTCCCTTCTCACACCGCATAGGTAATGACATAACATAAGCCCTCCGGGCCATAGCAGTGTACATAAACACATTGGGACAGAGTTCTCTAAGCCACACATGTTCAGTGTTCGGTCACAGCAATGAGAATGACCTGAAGTGGTAAATGATACAAGGCTGGGAGTTGCCACTGTAGGGTGGAGCATGAATGTGGCCAAAGGGCCCCACCAGGAGCTCACGAATGCTACATGGAAACTGGCTAATTTACTGTTTTCAGACCTCGTATTCCGAGCGACAGGCACTACTGTATCAGTTTAAACTGGAACGGCAGAGGAAAGCAGGTGCGCTGGTCCTCCCTAAGGCACTGCAATGTAACCCCAGCATCCATGCTCATGCCACGAGCCTGTGCCCTGGGTTAGGTGCCCCCTCCCCCTCCCCCGGACCCTACATTCAACATTTTGGCAGCATGGCAGATCTGACTCTTAAAAATTATAACGGGTGCTGAGGCTCTAGGCCTGAATCTGCCTTGCGCTGAAATATCCCAGTGAGGATGTACGTGCCTTATTCCTTTTGTTGTCTCCCTACAGTTACTGTTCGCATTAGAGCATGGAGGGCAAAGAACAAATGTTGTGACCAGCTGCTGCTTCCTCCAAATCCTTTGGTATCTCAGATCAGACAGAAAGGGTCCCAGACGCTCCCGTGAGAGTCAGAGTTCTGGACCATTTACAGGGAGGTCACAGAATCATCCATAGACTAAAAGCAGCAATACACAGCAAGTAACAGAGGAGCGGGTAGGAAAGTTGTCATGCAAAGTCCAAACTACACACTACGCACCACCCTGCACGGGTCAGACAGACACATAGCACAGGGCCCTTCTCTCCAGGTAGGTACAAGAGAAGGTTGTACTGTAATCCCACAGTGTGAACGATTTGGCAAAGGCAGGGCCAGGCTGGATGCCCCATCCCAAAAGGGCATAGGCGGGTTCTTCTCGGGCACTGACTGGTGCAAGTTCCAATATCACAGTGAAGTCTGAAAAAGCGGAGAAGAAACCCAAACCCTTCCCCCTGAAACAGAAGCCCCCTTAACCCCTAATCTGACCCCCTCTACTCCAAAGCAACCTGATCAGTCCAACAGGACTCAAGCAACCTGTCCTGAGAGCATCCCAAGGCCAGGGAATTCAATTCATTGTCAACAATGAAGGCATTGTCCTTCATGGATTTTTTTTGAACCATCACCCTTCACCTACCACTTGTGCTCCTTTTACATGGAGACAGATGGAGAAAGCAGGCTTCCAATCGGCTCCTCCTCTACGGACAAACTGCTACCCTCTTCACAAACCGCTGCATCCTTTACAAATGCTCACATGGCCTTAAACCCTTTCTCGAACAGAAGTAAACATTAAGATAAACTAAGAGGCACTAATATCGCCGAGTACTAGGAAACTCAGGCTTGACTTTCAAACCCGGGTCCAAAAGTCTTCAGACATTTCAGCTGGCTGGAGGAAACCCAAGTCCCTGTTCTAGATCTCCTGCAGCGAGTAGCCGGGGTCGCTACGTTCTCGCTTCACTAGTGGCTCGCCGACACTTCGGGAATCTGCGTCTGCCTCGCCTCCAAGGTCGCTAATGTCATCTGTGGAGGATAATTCCCAGCATCAGCATTTTGGGGGGGATAGAAAGGTGCAATTCAGTTAAACCAGAGGCCAGAGGTAGGTTGCGCCAAGTTTTCATTTACCTTTTTTTTTTTTTTTTTTTTTTAAAGTATTTTCATGCAACATTATTTCTCCTGAGATGGCACCCTGGAAACTGACCATATCCCCAGACCACAAGTTTCTGCTCCCCACAACAAATGAACTGAATATTGACTTAAAGGAGCTACCTCTATATCAGAGGTGGGCAAACTACGGCCTGTGGGACCGTCCTGCATGGCCCTTGAACTTCTGGCCGGGGAGGCTAGCCCCCCGCCCCTCCCCTCCTGTCCCACCTCCCCCACAGCCTCAGCTTGCCGTGCGGCCAGCACTCTGGGTGGCAGGGCTGCAAGCTCCTGCCGGGCAGCGCGGCTGCCAGTCCTGCTGCTCTGAGCTGCATGGTAAGGGGGCGGGAGCGGGTTGGATAAGGGGCAGGAGGTCCCGGGGGGCAGTCAGGGGACAGGGGGTGGTTGGATGGGGCAGAGGTTCTGAGGGGGGCAGTCAGGGGGTTGGAAGTGGGAGGGGGAGGGGGCGGGGGCCAGGCTGTTTGGAGAGGCACAGCCTTCGCTACCCAGTCCTCCATACAGTTTCAGAACCCCAATGCAGCCCTCAGGCCAAAAAGTTTGTCCACCCCTGCTCTAGAGGAGAAAGAGAGAATAACAGAGTTGGACGATACCTTTATCCAGCAGTGTTGAGGACATGGATGCAAGGTCACTGAACTGAAAGAGAAAACAACTCGGATGAGTGAGGTTTAAAGAGTCCCCTGGATGTACATCTGCCAGCTGTTTCAAACCCATTTTAATTAATAGCTGATTTTAAGCACTTAACAGAAGTTACAAATCTTGGCAGCTTATTCCCAAGCAGCACAGAAGGAGGTGCTGAGCAGTCAGGGACTTGCCCAAGACCATTCAGGCCAGATGTTGTCTCCAGGGCCAGATTAACCATTAGACTAATAAATCTATAGCCTTAGGCCCTCCTATTTTTAGGCCCTACTGGTCAGGCAGGGGGCACGGCCGGGGCCGGGTGAGTGGGGGAGTCAGCTTGCTCATGCAGCCCTGCTGGAGCGCTCCTGCCAGCAGGAAAGGCAAAGCAGCTTCCTGTGGCTTGGAAGGAGCTCAGCCAGCTGGCAGCTCGTGCTGCAGGAACACATTGCCAGGCACCCGGTTAACACTGGTGACCGGACACTAAAAATCCAGTTACCACGGGAACCCGTGCCAGCCGTGGGCGTAGTTTGAGCAGGCATTGCGTGCCCTCCCCCAGCCGATTTCTCCAGAGCTCTGCTTAGCTGTCAGGGAGGGAAGAGGCTCCCTCTGTCCCTCTCCTGTGCTGAGGCTGGCAGGAGTTCCAGGACGCTGGGTCCTAGTGCCCGTCACTGTCATCTTCTATGTGTGCTGTGTCCTGTTTCTGGACAACAGGTGAGTTCCTGGGGAGGGTGGGGGGGGGGCAGGGCAAAGGGGTGGCGGGGGGGAAGAGGTAGTACCAGAGCAGTAGGGTGGGAAGCTTGCACAGAACCTGCACACACTCTATTCAGCTCCAGCCAGAACAATTGCCCCTCCCATGTATAAGGAACGAATTCCCACACGTCTGTAGGAACAGCAAAACAAACCATCCCATTCTGGATACCAGTCCTTGAACTTTTACAGAACCTTCCAGCGAGAGGCTTTAGATGTATGATGCACTGTGTTCAATACTGTATTGAACTGTACTAAAAATCAAAGAAATCTAATTTTTTTCTATGATGTATTTTTCTGTACTGGGATGCACAGGGCAGTTAAGTTCTTTCCTTATACTCAACCTAGTTCCACAGGCCAAGGCATCTTTGTACTTTTAAGGGGTTGCAAAATCACTGGAGGAAGCTCTACACACAATGTTGTGGGTTTCTCCCTCCCCCCTCTCTCAAGAATTTTAAATCCACTTCTTAACAGGTGATGACAGACTAGTTGAATAGACTAAAGGCAGGTTCAGTCCATTTGCTGGTTCTCCAGCAGTTTAATCCATCATAAAACTACCTCACATTTGATTTCTTTTGAGTTTCATTCCAAAAACTTAAAGCTAAATAAACCTGAAGTTAGTGAGTTTGAGTTGGGGCAGAAAAATGAGGACTTCTTTCCCAAGTGGAAAACGTTGGGTAGCATGGAATGTGTGTGATTCGAGAAGAGAATGAGAACACAGGCCAATTCCTGCTGACAGTCACACCTGTGGAGTCTTCTTGACTTCAGGGAGAAGAGATTTTTGCACAAGAATAGATTTTGGTCCCGTCTGCTTTTTCACACCTGGGATAAGCAGAATCTCATTCACTTTCCTCCCCTAAACTCTGAGCACTTTAAGGAAAAAAATAAGCAAGGTCTGCTTGATTTACACCTGCAAACGAAACAGGAAGCTCTCCCTTCATTCTACACCAGCCTTAATGTAACAAATAAATGGGTTAGTGTCTAAGGTGCCACAAGTCCTCCTGTTCTTTTTAATGTAACAAGAGTGTCACTACAGCAGCCTTGGTTGGACTGTTCTTTTGAAAGATCCTTAATGGTTCTTTTAAGATGCTGATTTTCAGTGAAGTCTTTTTGTTCAGGGAATAGCTCTGTTTTGTCAACTCCTAGTGATTCAAAAGCTGAAAGGCTTTAGATTAAGTTTGTTTAATGTTTGTACAGTGATGTTGAAGAACTAACATGGTACAGAAGTGCTAAATATCACGACTGGGCTGGGCAACCATCTAAAGATCTGTGTCACTTCTAGCTGTTACCTTTTTCTTACAAAAAGGAATGAGGAGTCCGGTGGCACCTTAAAGACTAACAAATTTATTTGGGCATAAGCTTTCATGGGTAAAAAACCCACTTCTTCAGCTGCATGGAGTGAAAATTACAGATGCAGGCATTATTATGTGTGTGTGTCTCTACCTGTGTGCTGGTGAGAATGTGAGACTGGGAGTGGGTGTGCAGCTTGTCACAGCCTCACAGGATGAGTGGGAGCCCAGGCTGGCGGGTCAGGGGGCTCCGTGGTACCCCACTCTAGGTGGAACCCCGGGAGGAACCCATCACAGCTCCCATTTAAGTCAGTGAGCAAATTTGTATCTAACATGCACAAAGCCCATACACAGCTCAAGAGACAGAAATTGACTCTCGTAATGTAAGAGGAGAAACTTGCTTATCCATTTCTGAAATCGCGAGCAGACCATCACTATTAGAGACTTGGACCTAAATTTTGTTTTTAAAAAAATGTAATAGCCAGAGCATTTATATTATTATTTGTATTTCTGTAGTTCCCATGAGCTCCAGTAATAGCCAATAATAGGTAGCGCCCTTACGGCGCTCTTCAGCTGTAGATCTCGGTCAGTAAACTGCTCTAATCACAAACAAGCAAAACATATTTGCCTCTTTCGAGTTTTTATTGTTACTTGACATCTGTAGATCAGACAGCTCTGTGCAAGGCAATTTCTTTCATTTAAAATATGATCTTCTGCTTGTATGGCCACAGTGCCACCTCCTGGACAAAGAGAGCTGCTGAGAGTCAGTGTTGGTCAAAGGCACCACGCTGAGGGCTCTAAAACTCCTTGTGTGCTGTCCCCAGAGTGCCTCACTGCTGAGCTAGACAGAGAGGAGGATTCAGTCTGCATGGCCCATTCAATGCTTGGCCTTTCTTTGGATGTATCTATTAAGGGGGCAGATTAGTGCCAGTTGAGGTGCTCGCGATCTACTGGGAACACTGTCAACACTGCACAGCTGGGAGATGGCAGGGACTAACGTACCTAGGCTAGACTCAAAGCAGTGGCTTCAGAGGTGAAAGGCTCCATCTCCTATTGCCACTCCTCTAGGCCACTGAGACACCAGACACTACTAGTTTTTATCCCCAGTTAATTTTCTCCTACAGGATAGAGTATCCTGAATTGGATAACCACTTGGCCCTTGTCAAAGACAGCATCCCTTTTTAAAGAATGTATCTAGCTGTGAGGCCCAAACTTCTACCTTACAGGACCCTAAACTCAGTCTGCAAATCTGTGAGCTCCTTGTGGAATTAGGCTTGAAGCACTAAACAAGCGCAAACTTGTGCTGAGCAACCTGTCAGCATCAAATGGCAGGATGCTGCGTTTCTCTGGGCTCACAGGCACACACACGACCATACGCACATGGCACCTTCCCTCTCTGCTGCCTGTCTGCTCTGCTCTTAACAGCAGTCATTGGATTGCAATAAATAGCATTCACGTTGCGTGTGTGTATCCAGCAACTAAAAGAGGAAGCAGAGCTACCGTGAGGCCTTTCACCTTACCATGGCCACTCAGACAGCCTTTAAAGAGCAACTTTAAATCAGCTGCATTAGTTAGTTTGCTTGCCTCTGTTATTTTAGTAAGTCACCTGGAATGATAAATACTTCTCTGACTTCTTGCAGTGCCTTATTACTTTATAATAATTGAGGCACCAGCTGAACTGCTGGGTAAGACCATGAAAAACAAAGCTGTAGTAAGAACATAAGTTAGTAAGAGCAATAAAATACTGAGGAGATGTACGTGAAAAGATGGGATTAGTTCTCTTATGCTCTGAAGAATCCTTCTCCTTCTGAAGTTTATGGCGCATACAAATATTTACAAGAGTCTAACGAAGGAAAATCCAACTGTCAAACAGTTAAAGCCCACAATCAGGGCTTGTTAGAACTATAAACAGAAATAATTCCATAGCATTTTAAAATTCTTTTTTAATTAAAACAAGTTTTTGTGTATTTAAACAATCCACTGCAGTGCTGAGGTCCTAAGAAAATTAAGTCCTGGGCTAATGGATCAGAATCAGAAAGTGAAACTAACTAAACAGATGGTGAAACTTGACTTGTCTAGGTTCACTGTGTCAGTTGCAGGGAAAAAAAACCAACAACAGTATAAACTCCACATTGCAAATTAGATTTTTAAATTTATTTGTTTTAATCTAGCATGTTAATACTAACAAGGAAACTTTCTTACTAAATATTTTCTATGTGGACAGCAAGCTTTAAGGGGACACTATAAACTTGAGATCCAGTCGGTTTAAAAAGTGATTTGGCAGTGGCTTTAAGTGTAGCACCTGTGTCCGAGGCCCACAGTCATAAAACCACAAAGATTTGGCAAAGTGTTGTGATTTGTAAAAATACTTTTCCCTCAAAAACCCAAAGAGGGGAAGTGGTTGACTGTGGACATAGGTTGAGGTTTTTGAGGGGCTAGAGGAGCTAGGTGCTCCATCCCATTAAAAGTCAATAGGATTTGGGTATGTAACTTGCAGGGATGTCTTAGACACACTCCCCCAAAGTGCCATCAAATGGGTGCTTCCATATTCTGGTACCCAACTTGAGCCAATTTGTGTGTGATTTTCAGAGGTGCTGAGCACTCAACTCCTGGTCATTCAATAGGAAGAAACTGAAAGGTCAGGCCCAGGGCATCTCAAGTTAGGTGCCAAAAACAGAGGCACCAAAAATTAGTGAATCCTTCAGAAAAAATGGCTGGTACAACATGTTCAGAGCACAGGGTAGCTAGTGGTGTCCCTTTAACCACTGTTCAGTTTGGGTTCTGTTACTGGGGCATAAATAGTGCTCACCTCTCCCATTACAGCAATTGGTGTCTCCCCTGTTGCCTGGGCAACACGATGCTCTACCAGATAAAACATGTATTCATCATAGAGCAGGCGAATCAGGTGGAAGGAACCAAAGCTGGCAGCACTGCGCAAGGTGAGGTCACGGATCACCATAGAGCTAGAGAATGGTTGGGAAACAAAACATTTTGGACACATTTTAGAACCACAGATTGGCTGGTGTGAATTCTAGAGTGGGGAGAATCATGGGAAATGCTGAGTCATACTGTGCAGTACCTAATACGCAATCGTTAAATTCTTCCTTTCACCCAAAATCTCAAAGCACTTTAAGAACATTAGTTAATTTAGCCTCACAAACCCCCTAGCAAAGGAGATTCGGATTATTAACCCCAATTCACAGATGGGGAACTAAGACAGAGAATCAGGGCCTGATTTTCCATTGCCCTAAACACTCGTGTAGTCATTCACGCCAGGGTAGAGTGATTTAGGAACCTAACTTTAGGGACCCAGGTTTTAGGATATTGACCTTGGATGGCTTTTCTTTTTGAAGTCTGGCCTGCGGATGGACAAAATACAATTTAGCAGCAAGGTATTTAGAAGTCCCCAGCAGGTACATATACATTTCCAGGATAAAAAAAGACCCGTACCTATAGAAGGACCACTTCAGCAGGAACTGCCTAGCTGCCTTGGGGAAGCTGGGGCTGTCCTCGTGGTGCTTTAGAACTTGGGTGACAACGTTATCCAGCCAACTGGCCCACTGATCAAGGGAGCTCTGCTGCTGTAGTGTGAGTTTGAAATCCTGCTCCAGCTTCTGCACCATGCCTTCTTCACACTGGCACACCCATGAGGCTTGCTCCTGCCAAGGGCACAAGAGGAAATTAGAAATCAATATTTACATGCCTGAGCAAAACTGCTGTTCATTCCATCTCATGGCTTTTGGTGCATCCTGACTCATATCTGGCAAAGGAAAAGACGTCAAGTCAGCAGAATAACATTCTGGCACAGTACTCCATGACTAGAACTTCTGTATGTAGCAGCAAGATCTGGGATTTTCAAAAGATGTCTCATTAGGTGCTAATAGGCAGTAGGTTTAAAACGAACAAAAGAAAGTATTTCTTCACACAATGCACAGTCAGCCTGTGGAACTCTTTGCCAGAAGATGTTGTGAAGGCCAAAACTATAACAGGATTAAAAAAAAGAACTAGATAAATTCACGGAGGATAGATCCATCTATGGCTATTAGCCAGGATGGACAGGGATGGTGTCTCTAGCCTCTGTTTGCCAGAAGGTGGGAGTGGATGACAGAGGATGGATCACCTGATGATTACCTGTTCCGTTCATTCCCTTTGAAGCAACTGGCATTGGCCACTGTCGGAAGACAGGATATTGAGCTAGATGGACCTTTGGTCTGACCCAGTATGGCTGTTCTTATGTTCTAAACTGCCACTGAGTTAAATGGGATTTGGGCACCTAACTCTTTAGTCCTGGGTGAAATTTTCAAAAGCATTTATGAGATTTAGGCGCACAAGTCCTGTAGGTTTTAAAAGGGACCTATACTTCTAAATCACACACGCACTTCTGAAAATCCCAAACATTAACCCTTTCACCAACCGATATCAAAGTGGTTTTTAAACATTAATAAGCCTCTCAACCCACCACATGGTGTAGGTCAGTACTAGCGTCCCTGTTTCATTGGGTGGGAACCTGAAGCACAGAGAGGTTGTGACCTGCTAAAAATCAGGATTAAGACTCAGGAGACTCCCAGTCCCCTGCCCAAAGCACTAAAATCAGGGCTTCTCAAACTTGTCCATAGCATGAGCCCCATTTTATAAAGTGATTGTCTTGTGGACACCTCCTTTCCTACTCACAACTGTATGACATCCCTTTGGCACCTATAGCAACTGTTTTCCTAGAAAAGCAATACTGGGAAAGCATTTAATATATGCTTCATTGTCTTGTCGTGCAATCTGGTAGTCGGAAATAAGGAGGAGCTAGCATTATGTGACCAGTCAGGTTTCTGCAGGCCACTGTAGTTTAAGAATCCCTGCACCACATCTCGCGGCCTCAACTGAAACATCAAAAAGTCACCTGCACGTTGGCGAAGTCCACTCGATTGAGGTCGCTGAGCATCTGGTTTATCTGGGAGGTGTTTTGGAGCACAGCGCGAGCTGCCTGAGCCAGATGGTTCAGGGAAGTGTATCTCCGTAATGTCTGTGCAAAGGCACTCACTACTCCAACCTGTAAAAGGTACAAAGACCACAGGGCCGTTACACACATACCTTCCAAAACACTTTGGACACAAGCACTAAGCCACTCTTGGCTACTGCATAAAAGCACAACACTCTTCTATTGATGCTGCTACCTAAAAATCTTTGCTAGCACTTTTCACTGTAATAGCTCATTGCTACTTCATATCAACCTAATTTTCTTCTTTGAAAGGGTACTGGCCTCATGGATAGAGAAGTAGTAGACAGAGAAGATATCGTCGATGCTGTGTCAACACAGAAGCTGGACTTTATGACCTCTCATGGTCCCTTCCATCCCTACATTTCTGTGATCCTCCCAAGGCAATCCTGTCACTTCATTTGTCTAAATAAGTTCTCAGAGTGGAACCCTTGACTCCATGTCAGCAGCAGGGGTGAGTGTTACAGAAACGTATGACTGGAGCGGAAAGTGAGCAGCTTTGATCATGGTTATCAGCTTGGACAATTTAGTGCTTATGTAAATCAAAGGCTGGCAGAAGTGACAAGTAGAGGAGGCAGTGCAGTTAAACAAGACCTGCCAATGCTCCTCAGTCACTGCCTGCATTCTAGCTCTCTCTCCAGGAAAGCATCATTCCATTGCAGATGCCTTATTGCACACTGTTTTATCTGCAACTACAGGGTGTGGTAAGTGCTTGATGAACACCGTGTCTGAACCATTAATCTTCGCTGTTGAGTACTACATTTGAAGCATGGAGTTAGAAATAGCAAATCCAGGCTCCAGCATACATGCTTCATGAGATGAAGCGGCTATGACCATATATCCCATGAGGAGATATCACCACATCCAGATGTCCATGTCAGGTTATCATGGACCTCTCCCCACATCTTGCTATTCTGGCTCAACATTGCCTGTTTATTACGCTTAGTTGAGCACGGATTATGCCCAACTGGCCAAGTGAGCAGTGATGGTGTAACAAGGCCCAGCAGAGGCATGTCATTAAGGTGAGCCAGGAGTGCCAGTCACCAAAGCCTGAAATACCAGTGGCTTGGAACCACTGCACAAAACTGTTACAAAACACTTCCCCCTGTTTGTAACAAACTCCCGCTGTTTACCTTTGTCTGGACTATCTGTGGGGGGAAATCGCTCATTGCATTCATCAGCCATCCTTCCAAACTCTTTGCAAAATTGCGGATGGCTTGCGTCAAGGTGCCTGCAAGAGAGAAGTCAGGATAGTTAAAGCGGCTTTTCCAAATTGCTTTAATGAGACCTGTCAGCCTCGAACCACCCTGGGAGATATTAAATCGAGATAATAGCTATTGGATCAGAAATTGTACCATGGGAGTCTAGTGCCGTTACAGATTAATCCAATGAATGCAGTCCATTGGGGTCTTGCAAAGTAACGGAGACTGAAATATATTAATCAGGCTGTGATTTTTATCCAACAAATTAAATAGCTTTCTCTCATTATTTGAGGCACATGTGAACACTTTTCTAAGACTACTGGCATCTATAATAATAACAATAATGTTCAAGTGCATGGGTTACAGATGACTAGAAGTTCACAGCACTGAAGCTATCAATTGCCTTTTAAAAACAAGATGGGATCATTTTTTTTAAAGCTATGCTATAGTTCAAACAGGAATTATTTTGGGTGAGTTCTGTGGCCTGTGTTCTACAGGAGGTCAGATTAGATGATCACAATGGTCCCTTCTGGCCTTGGAATCTGTGAATCTCTTTTGTTTGATATGCAATTAGCAATAAGGCCCAACATCAGAGTCCATTCTCTGACCAGTATGGACCAATAATGACAATTAAGCTTCTGTGCAAAAGGTACTTATGGAGACAGGCTTTTACTGAGGACCTTGGCTAACATTTTCAAAGCTGGGTGCCTGAAGGCAGGCTGTTAAATCCATATTTGAGCAACTAAACAAAAGTAGCCCAGTGTTCAGAGATGTGAAGTGAATGGAAGCTGCAGATTCTCAGCATCTCTGAAAACCAGGTCACTTATTTAGTTGCCTAAATATGGAGTTCAGAGCCCAACTCTGTGTACCCAGGTTTGCAAATGTTTTGCCTTGTGTCCATTGTAAAGCTATATTGTTAAAGTGCCTTTTTGGTTGTTTTTGCATCAAAACCAATTTAACGTGTTCCTTTTTATTTACTAGGTCACAATAGCAAATAAACATGTTTTTTAATATATTTTTGCTGGGTTTGTGGTGAACAACAAAAATCGCGGACAGGAAAGAGGCATTTAAAAAACAAGTTTTCACTTTCAGTAACTGTGATGTTGTGAAAGGGGCGGGCCTGGCAGTTCTAAAGAAGCAAACCTTGTTTATTCCCGGACAAAGCCAGGCAGCGACACCAAGAGTTTTCTCCACGCCGCCTAGCTAACAATCCTGCTTCCATCCTGACATATACAACCCCACCTATACCGGGGCCATTTATAGCCCACTTGGTCCTTGCCTCTTCCATTAAAACTGAACACTTAAAGTACTTACCTGGCCCCCATTACGGTTGTATTTGAGCATCTCACAATGATTTGTGTATTTATCCTCACTGCCCCCAGAGGTAGGGAAGTGCTATCATCCCCATTTTACAGAAGGGGCACTGAGGCAAAGAGAGACAAAAGACCCAGCTTTTTAAAGGTATTTAACTCACACTGATTTCAATGGGAGTTAGTTACCTAAATACAGTACCTTTAAAAAGATGGCCTCAAGTGACTCTCCCAAGGTCACACAAGAAGTCTGTGGCAAAGCTAGGAGCTGAACTCATGTTTCCAGAGTCCCAGCTTAGCACACAAACCTCCAGACCATCCTTCCTCTCCTGCCAACAGAAGGGCACACAGTGGTGGTTTTCTGCCACTAGTGACTGCACTGATGCCATCAGCTGGCAGTACCTTTTGGTCACTATTGACATGGACAGAGTCTGAGCTAGTGAATGAGGGACTGATCCAGTAAAGTACATAACATGTGCTTCACTCTCATTGCTTGCAGTGAGACTTCAGTGATTGCTGAATCAGGGGCTTGGGGGTAAAAGCCTCTGCATCCCATGCTAATCTCCCAAACCAGTATCAATATATACAGAGAGAGAGAAAAATCCATAATGTGCAGCCTGGGCCAGAATGATGTGACATAACAGAAAGACACACATCTCTAAGGAAGTATTCAACATGGATTAATTATGCTTAAATACATTCTATGCGTATTAAGCCTACATTTTCCAGTTTGGTTCCTGGCCAAAGCCTGAGGCTGTGATAATGTGATTAACTGAATTTTTAAAAGATGGAAAAAATACATCAAAGCATCCAGGAGCCATGATACGGATGGGAATCATTCCATATAGAGGAGACGGCTGTTGCCATAACATACAAGCTCTAATACAAAACAAAACCCTTCTGCACCAGCCTTTATGGCAAGTGGTAGCCAACCGCAGTGACCCATCTATTTCTATCGCACAATATGGAGTGAAACAGTAAAAAAAAGTTGGGAAAGTTGGGCAAGAGTCCGGGCTCCCCAGGCCATTCTGATCACTTCACAACATATTTACCAGGCACCGGCCTTAGCACGTCAGGGATGAGGATCTCCACCAGGGCCTGATACAGGATGTGATCACAGCTTCTCATCCATTTCAGGATAGGATCGTATTTACACAGGCTGATGAGCTTGTCCTTTGGGATGACCCCTTCATGTTCTTCTTCACTGCATGGCAAGGAGTAATGTAGTGTTAACGGCATGTTTCACTTTATGCATGGACAGTTGTTCCCTAGTTCTCATTAGAATAAACACAGCTTGGGTTTTTAGTGAAGGACAACCTCTGGAGTCTCTCTGAGGAAGTGGTGCTTGATCATTTGTAGGAACGTAACCACCTCTGGGAGCTCTGCTCTCTGTCATGTCTCTGCCAGTTCTGGCCAGGATCTCACCTCCAATCCACACACCCCATTTGGCTCATCTGGAGCTCCTCTCATTCCTCCAATCCTCTCTTAAAGGTTGGTCATTCATTGCCACCAATCCAACCACCCACAACAGTTCCCTGCCTCCTTCTGGCTCAGTGATTCCCCATTCCCATCTTTCTAAAACAAATGCAGCTCATAACCCAAATTTTTTTTCCACTCCTTTCAACAAGCAAGGGCTCATCTGGTTCCTCACAGTACGGCTTGCCATTCCCAGACATCCACACCTCTCTTTTCTGCTGTCCAACCGACTCCTTTTGACTATCACATTGCTGCTGAGCAGACTGACTGCCACTGAGCAGTCAAATTAAGTTGTATTGCCAGGTATTGTATACGACCAGTGCCAAATTTGCCCGGAAAACAAATACTGAAAACATTTTCATGGAGGAAAAGCCAGTCCCATGCTGCGACAAGGACACAGCATTGTCTTCAAGTGAATGAGGTCAAGTTAACTTGCCTCAATATCCCTTTATACATGGACAAAAGGATCTTTACTCTTCTTTTTAGTATTTTTAAGTAACTTTTTTTCTCCTGAGATGGCACCTGGAAACCGTACATTATCTTGTTCATAATTACAAAACTCTATCTTAGGAATAGAGTTAGAAAAATGACTTTCTGATGGGGAAGCAAAGGGAAGCTGCAAGAGTGGTCACATGCCCCTCCCCTGTAGTGCGGGCACATCATTTCAGGCACCTGGAGCAGCAGGCAGAGAGGAAATCACTGCGCGGGTGGGGAGGGGGGCTGAGGATGCCCTGGCCGGTGGCCCCTACCCTGCGCTGGGCTTAGCTGCTAGCCCCAGCTGGGGCTGGGCTGGGGAGGACAGGACTTCCTCTTCCCCTGCGAGCCCCACCCTCCTGCATCTGGACTACCCTGCCGAGCCCCCCAAACCCAACCCTCACCCCACTAAACCCCACTTCCCGAGCACCCAGACCCCCCTGCAAGAGTCACCCACATGGAGACCCCCCCACCGAGCACCATCCTCCCACACTGAGACCCCTCCTGCTGAGCCCCAACCACCTTCACCTGGACCCCCCCATAGAGTCCCATTTCCCCTGCACCCAGAACCCCCCAATGAGCCCCTGTGCATCCAGATCCCCCCCCCAAACTGTCCACACTCAGATTGCCCCACACAGAACCCTCTCACTCCAAACCTGGATCCCCCCACACTAAGCCCTCCATACTTGGATCCTGCCAGGCTGAGCCTGCCTGTCCCACACCTGGATCGGGGGCCAGGGTTGAGCATGCATTCAAGACTCTGTCCCACTCGCTTGCCAGTGGGAGAGGAGCTACAGTGAGTGTTGCATTATTTATTAAGCGGATGACACTAAGCTGGGGGGAGAGGTAGATACGCTGGAGGGTAGAGATGGGGTCCAGAGTGACCTAGACAAATTGGAGGATTGGGCCAAAAGAAATCTGATGAGGTTCAACAAGGACAAGTGCAGAGTCCTGCACTTAGGACAGAAGAATCCCACGCACTGCTACAGGCTGGGGACCGACTGGCTAAGCAGCAATTCTGCAGAAAAGGACCTGGGGATTACAGTGGACGAGAAGCTGGATATGAGTCAGCTGTGTGCCCTTGTTGCCAAGACGGTTAACGGCATATTGGGCTGCATTAATAGGAGCACTGCCAGCAGATCGAGAGAAGTGATTATTCCCCTCTATTCGGCACTGGTGAGGCCACATCTGGAGTATTGCGCCCAGTTTTCGGCCCCCCACTACAGAAGGGATGTGGACAAATTGGAGAGAGTCCAGCGGAGGAAAACGAAAATGATTAGGAGGCTGCAGCACATGACCTATGAGGAGAGGCTGAGGGAGCCTGCCCTGGCCCCAGAGCGCACCACTGCCACCCTGGAGCTGCTCCAGGTAAGCTGCACCAGGCCAGAGCCCACACCCCGAACCCCTCCGGCACCCCACACCTCAACTCCATGCCCTGAGCCCCCTGCCTGCACCCCAACCCCCTGCTGCACCTCACACCCCTCCTGCACCCCAACCCCCTGCCCTGAGCCCCCTCCCGCACTCCACACCCCTCCCTGCACCACTGCCCTGAGCCCTCTTCCACACTGTGCACCCCCTCCTGCACCCCAACCCCCTTCCCTGAGCCCACTTGTACTCTCCGCACCCCTCCTCTGCCCCAACCCCTCGCCCTGAGCCCCTTCCTGCACACCGCACCCCCTCCCGCACCCCAACCCTGTCCCAGCCTACATTCATGGCCCTGTATGCAATTTCCCCATCCAGATGTGGCCCTCGGGCCAAAAAGTTTGCCCACCCCTGCGCTAGGCTGTTTTCAGTGGTTGCAAACCACAGAAAAAGGGACAATAATCTCAAGTTGCAGTGGTGGAGGTCTAGATTCAATAGGAGGAAAAAATATTTCTCTAGGAGGGTGGTGAAGCACTGGAATGGGTTCCCTAGGGAGGTGGTGGAAACTCCATCCTTAAGAGATTTTTAGGGCCCGGCTTGACAAAGCCCTGGCTGGGATGATTTAGTTGGGGATTGGTCCTGCTTTGAGCAGGGGGTTGGATTAGATGACCTCCTGAGATCTCTTCCAACCCTAATCTTTTATGATTCTATGTTCTTGGTATGCCTGGTGCGGAGGGGCAGGACCCCAGGGGGTTTCTGGGACAGGCTCAGCCCCTGCACTGTGTTAGGGTCAGATACAGCCTCACCGCTGAGTCCGTGTCCCGGGTGGGGGGATGCAGGATGATTTACAGACGCTCCCCACTGCCATGCTGGAGCATTTATTTATTTGCAAATAAAATATGCAGAATTTTAAAATATCGTGTGCAGAATTTTTAATTTTTTGGCACAGAATTTCCTGAGGAGTAAAATCTTGCGAGACTGCAGCCGCAATGCATGAAACTGATGTTTGTGTCTTCCCTGATTGTGCAGCCTGCCTGTAATAATTTTCTCAGTGTTGTAAGATTTTTAACAACACCTCAATGTTCCATGACTGGATCCCAATTACTATGCACTCCTATTTTTGTTTCCTATCTGTGACTCTCTAAACTAAACATCTGAAAAGAAACCTGCAGTTACAGTGTTTCTTGGCAGCGATCCACCCATTGGGCACTATCTGAGGAGGATAATCAGGTTAGAATTTTAAGATTATTAGGAGAATGAGGGGACTTTCTCTCCATTTCCCAAATGTCCTTGCTCGGAGTATAAAACATTAGGACCTGAAATCCTTATATATAGTCAGTGGAAGCGGATACTATTTAGACTTTCATTACCATTCAAACTATTTCAATTTCCTCTATTTTCACTCACTGTCCGTTTCCCTGTCCCTTGATGGCAGGTTTCTAACACATAAACAGGGAAGAATAGGGAATGACAGAGAACCAGGCAAGAATGCAATTAACAGATCAAAGCAGCACATTTTGTCATTATCTGCCCCAGAACACAAGGCTTTTTTTTTTTTTTTTTTTTTTAATTTTCACGGCAACCTGATTAAGAACGAGTCCCAGTTTATCCAAATGTCATTACGTTCTTATTGGCTTCCTCTAATGTCATTCTGTAACAACATTCAATGGCATGCAGTTCTAAATGTCTGCTTAAACGGGGCTTCTACAAAAGCAGTGACCCATTCCTGTTAGTCAAAATAACACATGTTTTAGATTAGTGTCTGTAATCAAAGGTAACAGCACATCAAATAAACAGATAGTAAAATCCTCTGCATCTGGTATATAATTACAATAGCATACTTCTAACTCTATTCCTAAAATAGTGTCCTCTCCTGGTAGGTAGTTAACATCTTTAACTCTTAGAGATCAATACAATCATGAAGCTGAAAACTGTACCACTCGTGATCTCTAAGGTAAAACACTAGTAAAACTTAGGTCATCCAAAGTTTAGCAAGGGTAAGTGTGTAACCATTTACCTGGAAGGCATGGTGGTGGAGCCATCACTGGATGGTGTTTTAGAACTCCAGAAGGACTGCCATAGCTTCTCAATGTAATGAAACTGAAGGTTCATTACAACATCCAAAGTGGCCTAAGAATAAAAGACGATGGTTCATAAGATGCTCTGATAACATTCTATCACAGTTTCTTCGTAAGTGGAATACCCTGCCGTATGGATTAGATTAGATACAAAGTAGAACAATCTGCAATGTGTTGTTTTAACACAGAGAATATAAGCAGATCACACAGGGAGGAAATAACTTGAACTATGCTATCAAGCCAATCAGAAACATTCCTGTTCAGAACCCACTCCTCAAGAGAGCAGGACTGGAGTGGAGGGAGCACACTATGGAATCAGATCCTTGATCAAGCAAACAGAGCCTATATCAGGGGTGGGCAAACTTTTTGGCCTGAGGGCCACATTGGGTTTCCAAACTGTATGGAGGGCCGGGTAGGGAAAGCTATGCCTCCCCAAACAGCCTGGCCCCCGCCCCCTATCCACCCCCTCCCACTTCCAACCCCCTGACTGCCCCCCTCAGAATTCCCAACCCATCCAACCCGTCCTGCTCCTTGTCCCCTGACCATCCCCTCCTGGGAGCCCCCGGCCCTAACCACCCTCCTCCCCAAGATCCCCCCCAGCCAATCCCCCCTGCTCCCTGTCCCTGACTGCCCTGATCCCTATCCACACCCCACCCCCTGACAGACCCCCCCCCCCAAGGACTCCCACGCCTATCTAACTGCCCCCAGTGGGACCCCACCCCCCATCCAGCCCCCCCTGCTCCCTGTCCCCTGACTGCCCCCTGGGATCCTCTGTCCCTTATCCAACTCCCCTGCTCCCCACCCCCTTACCATGCTGCTCAGAGTCCAGCGGGAGCCACCCACACCGCCCCGCTGCCCAGAAGGAGCTCGCAGCCCCGCTGCCCAGAGCGCTGGTAGCGTGGCGAGCTGAGGCTGCAGGGGAGAGGGGACAGGAGTGGAGAGGCCGGGAGCTAGCCTCCCCGGACAGGAGCTCAGGGGCCAGGCAGGAGGGTCCCACGGGCCGGATGTAGCCCACGGGCTGTAGTTTGCCCACCTCTGGCCTATATAGTTACCTCACAGTGTCGTCTGTAAAGAAGCTGTAGAGTCTTGACATCATTCATGGTGATCCCCTCTTGTAAGAGGACATTTCCTAGATCAGGTGCCGGGAAATCAGGAAAGACATGGGTTACATCTAGGAGAAAAGTTGGGAAAGATAGCAAACTTTAACAGGCATTCATAGTTTTATAAGACTAGGAATTAGGATGTAATTTTGCAGCAGCCGGTTGCTACATTTCATATTTCAGATAACTAAATGAAATTAGTGAATTGAGACTGATTGTCCAATACTTCAACATGTCACTTCCAAAAAAGAACACCACTGTCCAATTATTCATTGCAGAAAAGAAAATGTTTTTATTGCAACTAGGAGGAAAGAAACATGAATGCTTTGTACCACTATAATGTGTGTTCCCATTAGATTTTCTCTGAAGTCTGAATTACATCCTTTCGGTATTTTGAGAGTACAATGGAAAATTTAATTGGATGGCAGACATAACAGGTACAACTGCATTTTAGAGACTGCTCAGAGATGGCCGTGTTCTTGTGTGTCATTACTCAGAAATACGGGGAAAAAACCTCAACACCCACACCTGCAGTTTGGACTGGGAAGTAATTGGGTAAACTGTTGGTCTCACTTTTTAGTACCCACTTTCATTCCTCTTAGGTTCCTTTGAAGGAGGAGCTGGTATCCAGCAAGTTCTTAACACAGTCTTCCTTAAATAGAAAAAATGCGGGCAACTGTGGCAACTATTAGGCAGTGTATGTTGCATCCAGTTCTCCTCCCACACATGTGGAAATCTATATAGGAGGCCAGCCTTATTAGGCAATCTCCCCTCTTAAAAGATTGCCCAAAGTATATAGAATATAGTTCGGATTCATTATTAGAAGGCCACCCGCATTAAGCAGTAAGTATTTGTTGATCTCTTGAATGCTTACTTAAGGTTTTAATGTAATAGATGAATGCACTGCTGGACATGAACCTCACCCAGAGTAGTTGGACTTGAATGGTATGTCTTTGTTGTAGGAAAGATTAGCTTCCCCAAGACTTGAATGCAAACCTTGGAAGGGACAGTGCAAGGTGCATGCTTCTATCATGTGTGTATGCATTGCAATCACAACAAATCTACCATCTTGGAGGCTCTCTCATTTGAGTCATCCCCACAGAAAGAGCTAGGATTAAGACTTCTGTTACCCTTGTTCTGCAGGGCTGCTAGTTTTTCCATTATCAAGAGGAATGGAAGCAGATCCAAAAGAGAACGTGGGCCTTATTGATTAGAATGCCATAACATCAACATAAGGACAGGAGAATAATTTTCATTTTATTGGAAGTTTATCTTAACCTTTACCCCCAACTCAGCTTAAACTGAAGCCTTTTTGAGGCTCAGCGAAGTTCAATGAATGGGAAACCTAGATGAAAGCAAATATAATTTAAAAAATGACTAGTTAAGGGCTCCATTCTTCTGGTTGTAGTGTGTCCCACCTTGAGAAGCCCCACAGAAGTCAGCAGAGGTAGAATCTTAAGATTGCAGGGAGAATTTTAAAGAAAAGATGGCTATTTCTAAGTAATATATATAATTAAATGCTATTTTTAAGAACCGAAGCATGCGACACATGACATCTTTGCAGCGTGACTGAGGAAAGCTGTGCGGATTGTGGGTATAATAGGGTGAGTGAGGGAAGATGCAAATGTAAAAATAAAAGATATGGTATAATAAGCACTTATTAGGATATCTTTGGCAAATGTCAAAAATAAACACACACCTAGAATGGCAATAGATTGGGTCTGCTAAGCAAGGTTGCAAAGCCTTTTCAAGTTAGAAACCAGCAGCATTTCCTAGAAATGAGAAAACTGAAAGGAAGTGTGGAATTTGAGTTGAATTTCCTCACCTATAAACTGCTGATGGTGTTGACTTTGAGCTGCAACAGACTGTTCTGGAGTAGTGTGCAGGCTACTGCTGGATCCACTCTCCCTTATGCCTTCCATCTTCTGTGCAGGTCTATACCTAGGGATATAAAAAACCCTCAAAGTACAGCTTGGTAGTATGCACATTTAAAATGTGCAAACACACACAGAGTGAAAGAGGTCTCTGGCAAAGTCCTATACCAGTATAACACTTCTGCATTAAACAAACAAACAAACAAACAAGTCGCTTAATAGGTCAGCGTACATTTATAAATAGTTTATAAAGGGTTAATAAATTATAAATAATTGTTTTAATAAATGGTTAATCGATTGTTAGATCAACAGATGGTTTATAACCATGGGGTTTGCAAACCTGCTGATGTGCTTGTAACTATAACTCATATTATTCATATCTGTGATATGCTTATAACATGGATTCATCATTTATTAAGCCTTTATAAACGTATTCTTAATATAAAATGTGGCCAAATTATCCATCTCAAACAATCCCAGAGAGGTAAATATATTGTGTAAGTAGCATCAAATGCAGCTTGTTTCTACACAGTTAATAACAGGAAGGCAGCAGTGTCATTTATATTGCTCTGCATTTAAAATAAAATGACACATACTTGAATGGCACCAAGCACAGTGGGTTCCTGGCCCACAACTGGGGCACCTAGGTGCTACCCCAACACAAATAATAACTAATAGTAGTGGACATTTCCTGACTAATCTCAGAGAAGCATTGTATCTGCTTTTTTTAATTGCTAGATGTTGAAGACAATTTAGAGCAGGTGGATGGCTCTAGTTTGACTGCCCTGGGGCCTGAAGTCTTCTTATCCATGGAATACAAGCAGAAGAGTAGATGCTCCCCCCTCAGCCTTGACCCAGAGAAACAGCCACTAGGATAATTCGGTTCCTATGCTCTATTTGGTTCTTGGCTTGTCTGCCGATGCTGCTAGTGAGGGAGCAGGCAATCAAAGCAAGTTGTGGTTGGGGCTTTTGTGATGATGACAGCGCCCACTGGGAATGGCCTAAGACCAGTCAATTTCACATTGGGGTGGGGAAGCCAACCTGGTTTGGATGTCCCAGTTTGCGTCATGTGCATTCATGGTTTGCCTACATTTAATGGGGGAGGGAAATGCTGAAATGAATAAAACCATTTGGCTCCAGTGAAGGGACTGAGGCTCTGATATGTATATTGTTAATTGCACTAGTTGCTTTTACTGTGCCCCCTCAGGGTAAACAATCAGGAATGTGTCTTAAGTGCCTGGGATGCCATTTACAAGACAGAATATGAAGCACATTAACTTCTCCTTCATATTACAAATGGGCTGTGTAAACCGATAGCTGGCCCTCCCCCCGCTGCTCCTAACATATCAGACATGCAATAAATGTTAGGACGATCCATTAAAGTGAGGCAGTACCAGTAAAAGTCTAATGTCTGCCTGCATTAGAGCTTTACCACTTATTTATAATTGTGTTTTAAACAGTGTTTAAGCATGGTTTCACAAGCCTGTTTCTAACAGAGAGCTAAACACTGGTAGATTAAAAAAGTGTTCTAGATAAATAATACTGTTTTACACACAGGTTTTTTTAAACCAAGTAAAAACATTGTTCTCTAATAGCAACAAGATTTCACTGAAGATGAGGCCTGATACCAAGCAATCTCAAAAATACTACGGAAGCTTCAGGCACAGCTACAGACTAGAAATGTAGCACATTCTGGGAAAAACTAGTACAGTGAAGAATGATATGAGTCAGCCCGGGGGGGGGGTTGGGGGGGGGGGGGGGGCGGGGGGCGGGGGGGGGGGGGGGGGGGGGGCGGGGCCCCCCCCCCCCTCAGATGGAAACAACAATAAATATTTCATGTCTCTGTACCACCTTCTCCAAATGCTTTATATACATATATTTATGAAACCTCACATCATCCATGTGAGATAAGTATTATCCTCCCCATTTTATAGACAGGGAAACTGGGGCTGAGAGAAAGGTTACATGATTTGCTCAAGGTCAGACAGCGAATAAGCTATTTTTTTTTTTTTTTTTGCTGTTTGGGAACTAAAAAAAGTTGAGATTTTTCCATGCCTCCACTCCAACCAGAAGCAAGAGTGCTGAAGCTCCCAAGAGGCAACTCAAGAGTTGCTTTGCATCATAACCTTCATTTAATTTTACCCAAAATTACCAGATGAGAGTCTGACTGGGCCCCATCTGAAGCTCTTCCACTAGGTGGTCTATGAAAGGAAAATAAGACCCCTTCCACTGGTTAAACACAAATAAGTGAACAGCAGAGGTCAGAAAAAAGTTGCGTCCCTGGGATGCAGTGAAAAGGATATTCTGTAGTGTTCACCATAGCAACAGGCAGCCCAAGTCCAAGCCTTTGCTGCACAAAAAAGGCAAAGAGGAATAGTTTGTGGAATCAAAATTTTTCCTCAATCCTTCTTTATCCTTGTTCAGTATCAGCAACTTCAAGCTCTGTTAAGTGCAGTGCCTTCCTTTGTCCTATAGCATGTACTTTACCTTATCACTAAGTTACACAAGGTTTTTAATGTATGCCATGCACTACCCTGCAGCGTACAGTCCCTTTGCAAATAACCAACGCTAAACATCTCAAGCTCCTGCTGCTGCTGTTTGAGGTGGGACCCAGTGTTTTGCTCTTTTGGGGAAACCACTCCTCGCAGCTTCCATTGCCACAACTAGCAGGTCTGAGAAGCAGGGGGCACATACCTTTGTTTCTGGTGTATGGGCTGTTGCCTCATCGCCATATACTGTGTGTCTTCCTGTAAGTGATTCAGTGGAGATTCTGGCTTTAGACGGATCCCATAATAATGATACTTGGAGTTTCCCCTGCAAGCATAACATTAAAATCTATAGATGTCAGATATTTCATGGAGATGACACACGAGCATTGCAATTTACTTTTAGGCTTCAGTGAAACATTTGACAGTGCTAATGGTTTGTGGATCATAAATGTGCGATATAACTTCTGTCTAATCCCAGATGCCAATTTAGCATAGATTTACTTTGCTGAATAAGCATATTAAGAACCTAATTTCACATTCAGAAGTATACGTGTTATTTTCAAATCTTGCTGTAACTAAGATCCTGGAGTAGAGGGTTTATACCCCAAACTTTGAAAGCAATCAGAATCCAGGATTCCTTTTACAGGATTTGTTTGAACATGGCACTGATCTCTGGGAAAATATGGTACCATGTGTCTCAAAACACAGTTCAGTGACATCTACATTTAAAATCTTGCAGCCTAGACCCATTTCAGCCTTACTTTCAATCTACTCATAAAACCTTCTTCACAGGCAGATAATGGATTATCCAAGTCAAAATACTTTGAGCCAAATCTACATTTATTAATGGAAACATTACCATTGACTTCAGCGGTAGCCAGACATGACCCTTTGTTGTGACGGAGTGAAGGTTTCTTTATGTCTAAGAATTTATAACAGGCTCATCACTGTGGTATCCAGAAATATACTGTGCTTTAAAACACCAATGAGGGAAATCCCAGCCCCGCTGAAGTCAATGGCAAAACTCCAGTTGGCTTCAATGGAGCCAGGATATCACTCCAGGAGTTGAATGTTGTAGTGAGAAATGCTCTTGGCTGGTGGTCCTCCATGGCTTTCAGCCTGCACTCTGGAGCCACAGAGATGCTGAAATGTATCTCTTCACTCAAAAGGGAGCTGTTCTGATCTTCTCAGCTCCTGTCTCAACCCGGAACTGAAAGTGTCACATTTGATATCAATGTAACTACTTTTTTAAAATTGCAATTGATGTTTCAGGTCACAGACTCTTTCATTTTAATTGCAACCTGTCCTTTAAGTGGTCAATGGCAACTGGAGAATAAGAGGTAAGTGTCAGAATGCAAACTGTTATTTATATAGAATGCCACAGAGACCTTGGAGTCATTCTACCCTTCAATCTGAATTGGCTTTATACAGCAACAGAACTTCACTGTAGGGCAGGGCTCGGCAACCTACGGCACGCTGCTGCCTGCCGGGTCCCAGCCGCCGGCCCCACTCAGCGCCCGCTGCCGAACCCAGGCCGGGACCCCAGCAGGCAGCAGTGAGCCATTAAAAATCCTGCCCTCCCTGGCCCGCTCTTCTCCGCCTCCCCCGCCCCCCACGGGGGTAGAGTGAAGAAGCTTGGTCCGCGGCTGCTGCTGCAGGGCAGGCAAGCTCCCCCCACCCCCGCCTCTTCCCCCAGCGTGCTGGGGTCCTGCCCCTCCTCCCCTGCCGCTGATCAGCTGATGGCCCTTGCGATGGAGGAGGAGAAGTGGAGCCGCAGCGCTCTCGCTGCCCCAGGGAGGAGGCGGAGAAGAGATGGGGACAGGGTCTTGGGGAAGGGGGGTGGAATCAGGGCATATCCCCTCCAGCCCCCTGTCGTGAGCCGCTCAGGGCAGGGGGCTGGGAGCACCCCCATGATCCCAGCCCACACCCCCAGCCCTCTGCCCTGATCCCTGCACCCCCCTCACACACACCCCAGCCCTCTGCCCTGATCTCTGTACCCCCCACACACCCCAGCCTCCTGCCCTGACCCCTCATCCCCCCACGACCCCAGCCCTGACTCCAGAACCCCCCCACATACCCAGCCCCCCACACCCCATGCCCTGACTCCTGCACCCCCCTCACATGCCCTCTGCCCTGACTCCTGCACCCTCCTCACATACTCTCAGCCCTCTGCCCTGACCCCTGCACCCCCCACGACCCCAGCCTTGACTCCAGCACCCCCCACACATACCTGGCCCCCCATGCCCTGATTCTTGCACCCCCCACATTCTCACCCCCATTGTGAGCACCAAACGGGAGCTCCTGCACCCCCCCCCCCATTCCTACCTGCACCCCTCGCACCAAATGGGAGCTGCCCAGGTAAGCACTCCACACCCAAACCTCCTGCCCCAACTCTGATCCCCCTCCCTCATTCTAGCTCCTGGCCAGACACTACACCCCAACCCTCAGCCTGCTCCTTCACCCCCAGCCCTGTGCTCTGTGCACTCCCACCCTCAGCTCAGTGCAGAGAGAGAGGAAGAGAATGGGCTAGAACCAGGGAGAAGGTAGGTACCCACTCTATGTGGGCAGGGCCGGGATCCGAGACCGGCAGCGGGTGGACGGAATCCCAGACCGGCAGCAGGCTGAGCTGCTCAGCCCACTGCCAGTCTGGGGTCCTGGCCATTGGCCCCACTCAGCCCCCTGCCAATCTGGGGTTCTGGCTGCCAGCCCCTTGCTAGCTAGGGTCCCGGCCGCAGGCCCCGCTCAGCCTGCTGCCGGCCTAGGTGAACAGAACCCCAGGCTGGCAGCGGGCTGAGCAGGCCGGCGGCAAAAGATCAGTATTTTAATTTAATTTTAAATGAAGCTTCTTAAACATTTTGAAAACCTTGTTTACTTTACATACGACAATAGTTTAGTTATATAATGTATAGACTTATAGAGAGAGACCTTCTAAAAAACATTAAAATGTATTAGTGGCACGCGAAACCTTAAATTAAAGTGAATAAATGAAGACTTGGCACACCACTTCTGATAGGTTGCCGACCCCTGCTGTAGGGGTTAGATTTCTGCACATAAAATTGGATAAAACCATCCTAATTGACCCCTCACCAGGGGGTGAGAAAAATCTGGTTCCCCCAACTCTTACCCCATGCCCCCAAATTATCTTCAGTCACCATGGCAGAAGGTGGATTTTATACCTGACCTAGTTCATTTTCATGGTAGTTTTGTAAGGCTGAATTAAGCCTACACAAGATTTCGAAACAGCAGGAATGGCTGGGAGTTCTTCTCTGGCTGATCAGCGCAGCTTTGTACGGTCTCCTAAGCTGTCAGCATTCCACATGGATGACTCAATTAAAGTATCCCCACTAAGCTAGGCGTTCTTTTTTGATCTACCCAGTGCTTGGCTATAGAAATGAGGATGGTAATTACACAGCCTGGATGTCTGAAGATAGTAGTTCTGCTCAATCAGACTGCAGCAAGAGTTGTCAATTTGTAACGAATGATGGTCAAGCAGGTCCTCACTGGGACAGGATAAACGGCTGGGAAAGCACTCGTTACAGCCTCAGAGACACCCGCGTTGGTGCTCTTTAGAACGGTTATGATTTTCACTGTATTGAAGAGTCTGAACACACCTTGAATTTAATGATGCTTTCACAGCTCAACCACAGAGAATTTAGAGAAGGGAACTGCTGTCTGACAACTGTTTTTCTACATGGAACCCCTTTCCTTCTTGGGGTAGGAATTAGTCTCTTCAGGTTTATAAAGGGAAGATTTTGGAATGCTTAGCCCTGTCTGTTGCTGTAATGAAGGATTTTGCAAGCTTTGTGTTATCTGATTAGCTATTGTAATATATTTTACATAGCTATTGTCTTAACCCATTTAAAAGGGATTTCAGTGGACCTAAACTTGTGACTCGAAGTTAAATAACTACTATGTTTATTTAGTAAGAGTTTTGGTATTTCTGCATTTGTTTGGCTGCACTCTTCAGAATCCACACATCTTTCATTTCAAATGTTTTTACTAAGGGCCAAGTTTTCCAAGGACTCAGAACCCACAATCAGGGCCAAATTTCAGAACAGCTCAGCTTTTATTTAGCCACCTATGGAAGGGCCCAATTTTCACAACAACTCAGCATCTAGCATGCACCCAATGTGCTGAGCTCTTATCAAAATCTGGCTCCTTCTTTCATCTCCCATTTAGGCACCAAACTCTTTAAAATCTGGCTCACATTGTGGGTGCTGAGCATTTTTAGAAAGCACAGCCCCAAGAGCACAAATTCTCTTCAGGTAGGGCTGGTTGAAGTTTTTCCAACTGAACATATTTCCCTCTGTAAATGCTGTTTCAACGAAATGGAAACATTTTGCAGGAAAGCATTGTTTCACAGAAATTTGACAGTACCTTGACTGAGTGTCAAATTTTTATAAAAATATTTGTCACCCCAATATTTATACCTTTATACGCATGTGTGTGCACAAACACACACTTTGACCATTTGTTACCTTATCAAAAAATGTCAGTGTATTTTACTTTCTCTTATAAAGCAATACACTCCTTCAAAAATATATGTGCAGCAGCATGTTTGGGGTTTTAATCATCTTCCAAACACAAATATTCAAGTTAACCTTTTCTGTTTTAGTTAGGGTCCTCCCACTTTTTAAGAAGAACACTCTGCACATGGGACTCGGCCCAGCACCCTGGAAGTTTTATAGATAAGAAGCCTACTTCTACATTAGAAAACTCTGAAAAGCAAGTCTGTATCTAAAGGGTTGGGGTCAGATTCTGATCTCAGTTACACTGGAGTAAAAACCTGGAGTAACCGCTACTGAAGTCAACAGAATTCTTTTGGTGTAATCTTTCAGTGAGATTAGAATCTAACTGTTTAATTGCAGTATGATTCTCTAAGTCTCCAGCTCCTGGTAGCAATCTTGATGAAAAGGGACCTCATTTGTGACACTGATTGGGATGAGTGGAACAGAGTGTGAGATTGGAAACCAGTTTCCCCATCTGCTGTAATACTGAATCATAATGCCAAAGTTGAACTTGACTGTTTAGCTTTTAAAACAATGGGGTTTATTATTGTTAAGCCAAAATTCAAAACAGAATAAAGACTGCTTAAGAAACTGGCTTGCAAGCTCTGTTCACCTCCCACCATGGTCAGACATCCCAAATGAGATCTCTTCAGCAAAATGGCTGCCTCTCCACCCTGCAGCCGATTCAGGAACACCACTGTAATTAAACGTTATCCTCAAATACATGACACAGCTGATTCCTGCAGAGAGAGGACTCTTACCTTATGACCTGTTAAGATTACGTATAGCAATTTTCCATTTGAGATATTGTTTGGTGGTTACTATATAGACCTAGGAATAAACGGCTGTTACAGGTGAATAATGTTGGGTGGGTCTGCAGCACCAGGGACAGGAGGGGAGGAGCATTTTGTGGTATAGATTGCGGCAGAACAGGGCAGTAGTTCTCCCTCCTGCAAAATGTAAAGTCAAGAGCCACTGTTCTTAAGGACAATCTGCAACCACTGAAAACAGTTACTATTACAACCTGAGGCTCTCAGAGGCTTTACAAACTTCAGTTAAGCCTCAAACACTCCTCTGAAGGAAATATTAAACCAATTTTACAGATGGATAAAATGATATATAGGCAGGTGAAGGAGCTTGCCTAAATCCCCAATAGCAAGTCTATGGCAGAGCTGGGAATTATCCATGACTCCTAATATTAAGATCACTACACAACAAAGCCGCTCAAGTAATCCACACCACATTATTAAAAAGGTGATAACAATAAAAAAGATGGCAAGTCGTTGCCCGTTCATCCATTACTCATTGCAACATCATTGAATGCAGTGAGTGTCCGGTGCAATGGTATTTAGCATTTAATTTAATGAAGTGGCATTTGAGCTCATTGGCCTTTCCATGACCTTACAGAAACAGTGGTAAAGTGAAACTGGTAGGGGCCAAAGGAAGGTGGGAATGTGCTTCTGCTACCACTGAGCCCTAATCTCAAACCCCTTTATACCAACCTTGTTCCCAAGCGCCGAGTTTTCAGCCCCATGAACACAGAACGAATCAGTTTTCCAAAGGAAGCAGCATTCACCGGATCCAGTTTGTGCTCTTGGCAGTGCCGCAAGTAATGGTTATACAACGAGCTCCTAGGAAGACTCACACCTTCAGCAGTCTCATAGTTGTCCAACAGCCACTGGAGCTTTATGTACAAAAATGTAATTTTTTAAAAGCCCACACATGTGAAAGACTAAAGATGTTTAAAATGGCCTGCTTAAAAAGATGACAACATTTAAAAGGGAGGAGAACCTTCCTGATGTGATCAGAGTTCAAGAGGACTTAAGTGGTTGGTAGTTAGTACATAACTGCAGCTAACTCTTGTGTGTTTCAATCTGATATTTATGTCCTCCATGATGTAGGAACAGTGTGAAATCAAAAAAGGCTGTCACATACAGCACCCAAGTATACATTGCCACTTATGCTGGTGTCTTCCCTTTACTCAATTCCATGATTTGTATTCTCCTTGCATTCATGTAAAGCCAATCAATCAATAAATAAAATAAAATAAAATAAAAAAGTCTCATGAGTTCACTGTTAAGGAGAACAAAGGCTACGATACCTGATGCTATTTACTAGGAAAGAAAGATCTCAGAGGAATCTGAATACATTGCTTCTCTGTCTATTAGCAGTTTCCAACTGCTAGTGCAGCAGGCAAAGCTTGTTTGAATTAATGTGTCTTAATTTCAAGCTTAAAATGTTTACAACTGTCCCCTTAACAACAAAATTAAATGGCTGCCAAACCCTACCTTAAAATCTGACAAGTTACCAGCTATTTTTCAAAATGTATTGTCTGAACTTTACTTCTCTTGACATTTATCTTGATCAGAGTTTGCAATTAGATATAAATTATTTATGTTCAGCCAGTTTGAAAGGGTAGGTCAGTCACACAACTGCAGTTCATGAATTAGAATGTAAAGACTCTAACTGGCTAAATGCCAGATTCAGAAAAATAAAAAGAGTACAATTTTAAAGCAAATATTGACAAATAAAATAAAAAAGCAAAAGAAAAGCTAGATGTACAACCAGGAGTAAATATTGATAAGGTACTTCCTTTAATAAAAATTAGGAGAATCCTGATGATATGTTGGGCCAACGTTTTCAAAACTGGGCCTGATTCTGATCTCCCTTTGTACTGGTGTAAATCAGGAGTAACTCAATTGAAGCAAATGGAGTTACACTGATGTAAAGCTAACAGGAGAGCAGAATCAAGTGTTGTGTGCCAAAATCATAACTGCAAAATATGACCCTGGTATAACAAAGCATTCAAGTATGTGCTTAACCTTGAGCAGATGCTTTGTCCCTGAAGTCAATGGTATTAAAGCTCATGCCAAGTGCTTTGTACACTTGTGCATGCAGGTCTCTGTTCAGCAAACACACACCTGCTCACACACAAAAAGGCCTGTATCTTCCTGATAGCAGGTTTATAGCAGCAAATCTCTAGCAGCCTAATGCACTACTCGATACTCAAGTTTTACAGCAGTAACTCCACTGAAATCAGAACTCAAGTATGCAGTGGTGAATCAGGCCCATTTATTTCAACTGAGGTATTTTCAACATATGTTTCTGTCAGAGTAGAATCAGAACTGAAGTATGCACCATACTCCTTTTATGCACAAAATGAGCTAATTACATCTATGCAAGTGTTTTGTAGTTGCAAGTTGAGTGCCTAAAATTTGAAACTTCAGCTTATTATGAGCTACTGCATACAAGATAAATTTAAATGCTACATTTTAGGTTTTATTTCTTTATATTAACAGAAAACCTTAGGGCCTGACCGAAATGCCATTGAAATTCATCAAACTGTTTCCATTGATTTCAATGAGCTTTGGATCAGATCACTAGATACCAGGGCCAGAAGAGACTACTTGGGTCATTTGCTCTGAACCCTGTATTTCGGAGAGCTGCTTGGAGCATTATTCCCATTAACATCTTATCTGCTCTTTTATACACATCTCACAGATAAAGAATTTTCAAAATCTAAACCTTCAGTCTCAAGCTCTGTTTTAAAAGGGTATTAAGAGTATGGTGATCCACATCACTTCATACCCTTATTTGCAGAGGGAGTCATATCTCCATGGATCCCTGAAACGAGAATGGCACAGTAAATTCTTACAATGACCCATGCTGTAGCCGTTAAGTTACTGATTAAGCCAGCTATAACATGAGATGAACCCAAACGCTCCTAGATGCAGGTAAGTAGTGCTGTTTTCAATGAGTCTGTATCCATGTTCATTTTAGCCCACCCCATGTATTTAGAAGATTCGTTGGCCGTAAGTTAACCTTTTTCTTCATTGGTTCCATTTGTCCTGTGGACCCAACTCGGTGCTGATCAGTCACAACTAGGTTTGACCTTCTAAACATGTTCCAGTTCCAAGGAACTCACTCAGGAAGTTAGTTGCTAACAACATCTAAGGACTTGCCGCGGGAAGCAGATGTTACGAAGATTTTTGTGCATTTCGCTTTTTTAGCCCCTGAAAAGTCCTAGCATTAATTACATGTGTCCGAAGTAACCAAAAATAGGGGGCGTCATCCTGCAATTACACCATTGTTTGCTGAGACGTCGTCTCAAGGACTTGATCTCCTGACTTCTTTGTCACAGAAGTGAAGATTCATTCTTCTTTAGCTCACTGCGTTCCTCCTAGTCTGTCCATGGAGAATTATTCCCTGAAGTAGTTTTACTAGTGCTTTGTCCAGTCTAATTTTAAAAGAAATTTGGGGTAAAATGCTGGCCCCATTGAAGTCAATGGCAACATTTCAGTTTCTACCATTTCCCAAAGGAGATTAGTTTACGTCCAGGAAACATTTCCTGGTAGTCACTGCGTATTTTCCATTGCTCAGCTTTATCCAATCATTAGTTATACTTGGTAATAGAACCCTATGTGATTCTCTCCTTAAAGATTTCAGCAGGAGGAGATTTTCAAATATGGTTGGCTGACGCTAAACAAGCAAATCCACATTTGGGTGCCTAAAAAAATGGCCTGGTTTTCAGAGATGCAGAGAATGAACAGCCCCTGTAAGTAGTGGGTGTTCAGAACCTGTAGCTGCTCAGAATCTCTGCAAATCAGACCACTTGGTGCCTAAATATGGATTTAGGTGCTTAACTTCAGACACACACACTTGAATATTGTAGCCTCATTTAAGTCTCTTCCCAGCATCTGAAAATTCATATAACTGACATCCACAGAGCCTTCCCTCTGACCTAATTGTCTTATGCTACGCATGTGATTAGTGCTGTCTCAGCAATAGTTATAGCTTATATAGTTATATGAAACATCATTTCATAAATAATTTCATGTGTCACTGTAGCTATAACTTTAGCCTCAGTTTCTAACTTTCTGATCCATCAAGTACACATTACCATATGCAACAAGAACTTTTTGGAGGGCTAGGATCTGATCCCACAAAGACTTGCTACCAAAAGTAGCTCATACTCATGTGAACAGTGTCCTTGATTTCAATAGTATAAACTGTGTGAAGAAGGGTTTTTACAGGAATGGGCCTAAGGGAGTAGATAAAGTGATCGCTCGATAAATAAAACTTACTGGTTTTTGAAATCTTGGTAATATAGGAATCTTTATCCTAGGAATTTACAGATTTGTGTAACATGAAGTATGAAGAAGTAAAACAAACCTCAACAGAATACTTAATGAACTTAATGAAAACCTCTGCAAGGTTCTCTACGACCTTAATGAAACTTTTTTGCACAAGAAACAAAGAAAGGAACTAAGCCCTAGCTAATACTATAATTGTCACTCGCTAACAACTTCCCTGGGAGCTAGTTTCCTTGTTACAGAGACACTCAGGGCCACACCGAGATTTTGGAAGCCCAGGGCAAAAATCTGACACTGAGCCCCCCCGCAGCCCTTCAAAAAAAAATACCACTAAGGGGAGGCCTCCAGGGAGGACAGGGTGGAGAGTGAGCTCCCTCCACAGTGACAGCTCCTGTTCTATAAGTCTGGGCCCAACTCCCTGCTCCAGGCATTGCAGCATAGTGCACGGGGTTGCTGCACCACTCAGGTTTGGCCCAGATGCCCACCCCCCATCATGATGGGGGGGTAGACAGGCCAAATGTGAGTGGTGCTGTGACTCTGCACCAAGTTGCAATACCATTTGGTTTGGGGACCCTCTAAAATAGGGGGGCCCAAGGCAAACTGCCAAGAGAAAAATGCAATCCTTGCTCATGTTACTAACAGTGCTAGGAATAATCAAAACAAAGCTTTAAAAAAATCTATTTTTATTTGCATGATTTATGCCAAGTTAATTTTTTTCCAGTCCATTCAGCTTGGACAGACTGTTGCCTCCTTTTGCCTTTCACTTTCTGATTCTCATGCACAAGCCCAATACTGTTGTATTCGGGTTTCTAACAGCAGGGTTGCAAACACTAAGATGTATACACGTTTTCATGAAAAACACGTATACATATTAGGTTTTGTAAAAACTTATTTATAACAGAACCTAAATAAAACTACAGACAATTTAAAGAAACCTTCGTTCTTGTTCTTTACTTGTACACTGTAAAGTAATTCCATTTAACATAGAACAGAAACAGCAACGGTTTGTTCATGAGAAGGAAAAAGGAAACTCAAACCAGCCAGTTACTTTATCTACTCTACCAGGGATTTCAAAAGGACATGCTTGCAGCAGGACATGCTTGCAAGGAAGCTAGCAAAGGATTTTTGATTCAGAGATTTATTTTATTTTATTTTTAATGCTGGAAGTCAGAAGCATTTTTGCCTCCACACAGAAAAAAAGAGGAGCCTGCCTGTTGTAATGGACATTTAAATCGTCACCAGACACAGCTGGGTAGCCTGAGTTTCTGACCCTTCGGCCTTCTGTCCTCCTACAGCACTTCATAGAGTCAAAATTATGATATCAGCAGTGCTCTTTAGAAATTCCCAGAAATACTAGAAGAGATTCAGTGCTGCCAACTCCCATGATTTTATTGCAGGTCTCACGATTTTTGGTGTTTATCTTAAAGCCCCAGTTCCTGGAATTATGTGATTAAAAAAAATGAAAGCTGAGATTCTCCTGTAAAGTAAGTTTCTAGCCCTGTGGTTGCAGAAATAAGCTTAAAAATGTGACTCCTAAAGGTTCAAACCAAAAAATCAAACAAAAAGAATCAATTTTAAAAAATAAATAAATCTAATGATTGTTTAAAGCAATCACATACTTTTTGAACACTTGGGGAAGGCAATTCTGGAGATTTCTTATAAAATCCGATCAAACAGAACACTGACTACAATAACTCAAAAATAAAGTTGATATACTTAAAAAAAACTGGTAGTTATTTTCTGGTGAAATTCACCCTAGTGCAGAATAGCCAGGCCTGGCCCCAGACTCCAGAATGAATGCTGTTCTACTCAGAGACATGACTATTTTAAAAATTGGTCAGAGTGGGATTCCACATTTATTGCAATATTTTTCCACATCAAAATGTTCTCAAGGTGACAAGTGTGTATTTTTCCTACTGCCAGGTCATCTAAACCACCCAGTGCTCTAACAGCCGGGTTATTTCCAGCTTATGCACCATCATCAATAAGGCTGACTCTTTTCAGAGTAGCAGCCGTGTTAGTCTGTATCCGCAAAAAGAACAGGAGTACTTGTGGCACCTTAGAGACTAACAAATTTATTTGAGCATAAGCTTTCGTGAGCTACAGCTCACTTCATCAGATGCACGCTGACTCTGTACAGCAAATGTTCCCATAGTCTCATCTGTGCTGCTCTTCGGTGGAGTTGCACACGTGTAACCATGAATATAATCTGATGACACAGGAATTTGAAGGCCTGATCCTGCAAGGTGCTAAGTGATCTCAATTCCCATGGACTCAAATGAGAGTTGAGGGTGCTCCGGGCCGAAAGTTCAGCACCTCAGAACCAGGAGTTCAGCACCTCGAGGGATTGGACAATTAAATTAACAGTTTCGTTGACGTGTGAACCAAAAAGATGTCCAGTTCACTACAGCAGAGCTGTGCTAGTTCTCCACGGCAGGGGCATAGCCAAAGGTGGGCCTGGGTGGGCCACAGCCCACCCACTTAGCATCCAGGCCCACCCCCCAGCCCCAGCTCTGATCCGGCCCCAGCTTGCCCCACTCTGCCCGCCTGCCCAGTGCTCCAGCTGCGGAGTGGAGTTGGGGGGCGGGAGCTTGCCCCATTCTGCCCGCCCGGTGCTCCTGTGGGCAGCGGGGGAGCATGGTTGGGGGCTTGCCCCACTCCGCCCGCCTGCCCAGCGCTCCAGCTGGGGAGCAGGGTTAGGCGCTTGCCCTGCTCTGCCCGCCTAGAGCTCCTGCCAGGGAGCGGGGTCGGGTCGTGGGAGCTTGCCCCACTCTGCCCAGCACTCCAGCTGGGGAGCGGGGTCGGGGGCTTGCCCTGCTCTGCCTGCCAGACGTTCCAGCTGGGGAGCTGGGCAAGCCCTGCGCCCCAACCCCGCTCTCCAGCGGGAGCACCAGGTGGAGACGCCCATCTTTCTGGGGCCCCCCAATTGGCTGGGACCCCTGGGCACACCCCTTTGGCCCAGTGGCTAATCCGCCAGTGGGAGGAGGTCGAGCTTCAGGTGACCCCAGGGTGACAGAGGAATCCTGCCGCTTGGGGAGCCAGGCCTGGCTTGCCATTGCTGCTGCAGAGCGGCATCTCCTCCCAGAACTGGGTGTGCGCCTGGGGCCCCAGAGGTCCCCTGGCCAGAGCATCCATCGCCCCCACAACCCCAAGGCCGGCTGGAGGTGGTAGGGGGAGGCGGGCCCTGATCCCTCCTTCCCCCGTCACTGCCCTCCTGCCCACCCAATGTTGGGGCCCACCCAAATGTTCCATCTTGGCTACGCCACTGCTCCAGAGCTGGTGGGGGGTAGTTATTCTTTTGTTCCCCTACAGGGTCAACAGATCTGACTTTAAATGCACAGAGAGACCAGGACTGTGGGAAAAGGTTTCATTTTATACCATGACACTTCAGTGTAAAACCACACTTGGGGCCTGATCCAAAGTCCACTGAATTCAATGGGAACCTTCCTATTGACTTCAGCACGGTTTGGATTAGAGCCTTTTAGCCCCACATAATTATGTACTTAAAAATTACGCTTTGCGGGATCAAGGCCTGAAGACATAACACAGAAGACCTTGTATAGACCCAGAAGACGGGGGTGAATTTCACCCAAAGCAAAGAAATGGTTGCTATCAGTATGAAATGGAAAGGTCCAGCAAGTGGGTTTAGCATAGCTTTGCAACAGTCAAGGCCTTTCCTGGCTATAGAAAGAAGAAATACAGGCTCAGGCACTCCAAGACACAGACACACACAGTATGCTTTTGTTACACAGGTGTAGGGGACATCTGTTACGATTCACTACAGAGTGTTGCTGCAGAGCCTTACAAAACTGTTTTCCAGCAAACTTCCAGTGAAGGGAGACAAAACTCTCAATGCATTTACCTAAGTGCCTGCAGCTTCCATTTCAAGGCAGATTAAATAAACAAATATGGGGCAGAGACAGATAACAGAATCCAGAGCATCTTGACAAACAAACATAAAAATCATTGCAGGCTTTTGCACACTATTGTTTCTATGGACAGGGCTGCCATGGGGAGTGCAGGCAACCAAACCCTAGGCTGCTTTGATTTGCCCAGATTAGCTGGTGTACAAAACATCTATAAATAATGCTCCTAACAAAGCAGGGAATAGGTTGTAAAGTCCAATAGTAACTTACATGGCTGTTGAGCAAACTGCTTTTGTGTGATGTAATCCCTTCATTTTTTTGTAGGTTTTCAATCGCCATTTCAAGCTAAAGAAAATGTGCACGAGAAAAAAGAAAAGAAAGGAAATCAGATAGTTAGCAACAGCCAAGATTTGTCTTTATTAATAATCTGAATAATGATTAATGCTTTCTATAAACAGGCTCATGACAAAGATGCAAGGTAGATGAGATACAGTCCTTATGGGCTGAAGGTGCAGCAAAGAAATGTTATTGTAACACATGCAAACTAACTGTGCAGCCAGGACACACATTAAGGATGAAAGAACGGCGCTAGGATCATTTCAGAACTTGTGTTTTAAATTCCCTGTTATTAAAGAGATGTCTATGTCTTTCCCCTTTTCTGCTACAAATATAGTGAATCACTCCTCCAAAAATTCTCATCGGTAGCAATGAGCTATTGCATGTCTAAATAGAGAACCACATAAAGATGGTGCATTTTATCATCAGACCCATCTCTGTGAAACCCAAATTAATAGCTTTGGTTATTAGCATTTCCTAAATTACTAATAGAAACAACAAACAAATTAATAGTAGTTGAACAAAGTACTGAATGCAGCAGAGCTACTACAGATAATGCACTAACGGGCATAAGGTGTCACTCTAAAATCATACAGCCTTGCAGTATGCCATATTGTATCTTACTGGCTAAACAGAAGTGGGCCTTGTCAGTAGCTGGATGCAAGACCTCCGTGTGCTGAAAGTCTTTCACTACGGGGCACTCTCCCCTTTGAACCAGAGTTGCAGAATGGTGTCAGCCCTTGGGTGAGAGTTTAAACCAAGGTCTCAGCCATCCATGGTCATGATCTCATGGCACTCTACCCAACAGATATTCCACCTTGAGTATTTACATTCTGCGGGCCTTGATGTCCATGCACATTCGATTAAAGAAGTTATCCTTCATTTCCTCATTTAATACACTGCTGTGTAGTGTTGCTGGCTTCAAACCAATGGCGGGGGAGCCCCTTTAGACAGTCAGTAGTAAAGCATTCAGCATGAAATCTGCTATGTAATTATAGCTGACTATTATTAAGCTCAAGAACAGGCAGACCCCCAATAGTGGACGTAGAGGCCAATTCACCTTTCATTGTCAGAGCTGCTCCTTTTGCGGATGGCAGTCTATTCAGCAATAGACTGTTCTGTCTGTATAGCAGCTTTGCAGTTTTCGTTTTGTTACTTAAAGGTGTATTTTGCTTTTCCCACCACAGGCAGCAGAGGAGCCCAAATCTCCTAGATCATTTTTTCTGAGCATTCCTGCAAGGGGACACCCCAAGCAGGTGGCAAAATTCTTCAGGATTTGGAGAAGGAAAACAATATTTTAATCAGTATTTCCCAACTGATGGGTCGCAACACCCAGAGAAGTTACCAAAGGCAAATATGGGGGGTCATGAGGCACTGAAAAATTTGTTACAATCTAAAGAAATAAAATCTTGTTCCCCCCTCTCCCTTGCCCTTCAAGGCCAAGTACTATCTGTCAATCTCTCAAAATACATACAAATGATACGCTAAGACCTGGACAGAGGGCTCTTGGATATTCTGCAACAACTGGTGACCTTGGTAACAGAGGGATGCAGCTCCCTGAGCTGTATAAGCTGTCAGTGACAGAGGGCACTGGTTGTTTACAAGTGAAGCAAGTAAGACCCAAGCTTAGGTCTTGGCAAGTATACACCCTCCAGTTCCCCGCCTACATGCGCAGTAGTAGAGAAGGCCTAAGCAACTCATTATTCGTGGCTAGGGCCCTACCAAATTCATGGTCCATTTTGGTCAATTTCGTGGTCATAGGATTTTAAAAACCATAAATTTCATTATCTCAGCTATTTAAATCTGAAATTTTGCAGTGTTGTAATTGTACACAAGGAGTCGTGTGGGGGGTCGCAAGGTTATTGTAGGGGGGTTGCGGTACTGCTACCCTTCCTTCTGCGCTGCTGCTGGCGGGGCCCTGCCTTCAGAGCTGGGCAGCTGGTGAACGGTGGCTGCTGGTTGGGATCCCAGCTCTGAAGGCAGAGCTGCCGCCAGCAGCAGTGCAGAAGGATGGCATGGTATGGTATTGTCACCCTTAATTCTGCGCTGTTGCCTGCAGGGTGCTTCTTTCAGAACTGGGTGCCTGGGCAACAGCTGCTACTCTCCAGCCTCCAAGCTTTGAAGGCAGCGCAGAAGTAAGGGTGGCAATACCACAATCCCCTAAAATAACCTTGCAACCCCCTGCAACTCCCTTTTGGGTCAGGACCCCCAATTTGAGAAACACTGGTCTCCCCTGTGAAATCTGCGTAGCATAGGGTAAAAGCACACAAAAGACCAGATTTCATGGTCCGTGACGCATTACTCATGGCCTTGAATTTGGTAGGGCCCTATTCATGGCTCATTAGTGGAGATGGGATAAGAAGGCGCACATTGTCGTAATAACTAATAACGCACATCCAGGTAAGAGGTATCATTAACAATTTCTCTTTCCCAAAAGTGAGTTGGCCAAGATGGCTCATATACTGCACCTGCCACCATTTAGCAGAGGTATGGTACGGAGAATGCTGCAGGATCACCCCTGCAGAGCATCGCTGGTTTGAAGCTGCAGGTGTAAGTGTTACCATGTTGCCGACAGCCCACTTGCTCCATTTGTTGCCTTGCATTTGTTATCCGAATGGAGATCACCCTGCTTATGGTCTCCTTTATATATGTTAGCTTACTCCCTATGCTGCAGTTTATAGTGTGACCCACTGCATGCTAGAAGGTGGCCATAAGGTAAAGTAGAACAATACCCATTTTCAAAGCCTAAATCTGCCAGAGCCCTAAATGAGTGGAATGGATCTGGTTACTTCAGTAGCCAAAGAAGTGGTTTCCACAATGTCTGTGCCTAGGTGTTGTCCCCTCCCTCCTGTACACTACCCTGCAGAATAAATTCCTTTGTTTCCACTCAGGAAATAGTCAGTGACATACAGTACAAAGTATTCAGGCTACAGTGCTCCTTAGCTTAACAAGATACTATCTAGCTCAAAAAAGGGCCAGTTTCAAGGAACTAAGAAACTTAGATGTTTCTAAGAAACATCTCCAGCATCCTGTGATAACTGGGAAGAACCAAAACTCATCAGCACAAGCAGACTGCTGATGTAGCCTTGAGGAAATCAGTCAAAATGTCATAGGGAGACACCGTTTCCTTCCCCTGTTCAAGACAGGGAGACAGCGGAGCATCTGCATTGTGTATGCATCCACATAATGCAGAGACAAGCAGCAAGTCTCTCTCATAGGCATGCAGTGATAAACACAGCCCTAAAGAAGTGTGAATGCTACGTTTTATATCCCCCCACAAAAAAAGAAGAGGCTGGTAGGAAGTGCCTAGATATATTTACAGCCCACATTAAGGTGTGTCCTTTTAATCAGAATAACAACAGCCCCCCACCATGATTTGCTACTTTAGTGGAAGGGACACTGAAGTTTGGGCAACTCGAAATATCAATTGCTTTTGGGCTGACACAGGGCTTTTGTAGCCTAAAGCAGCGTTTCTCAAATGCCACTGTGGCTGCATGTGGCCACCAGGGGCTTTTCTTGCGGCCACAGCCTCCTGGGCTGGGGGGGACAGCAAAGTAATGGCTCCTCCCCTGGGGCTGCCTGCAGGGATTGGTCCCTATCCCCTTCTGGAGCCACAAACACTGTAGGAACAGGCAATCAGTGAGAGTTCCCCACCTTCCCAGGGGTGGTGCAGCTCAGGCTTCAGGCTTCTGCCCTGGGGTGGCGGGCATGGCGCCACCCCCAGACTCACCCCCCAGGATCACCTCAACCCCCACTGCCTCTTCCAGACCCCCTTTGCCCCTGGCCCCCCTGCCTCCTTACCCACCTCCTCATCCAGGGCTTACTCAGCCCTGGCATGCTGGGGGACAAAGTAAGTCTGCTGTGAAAAGCGCTATGAACAAATATACAAATATCACTTTTCACAGTAGCAGAATTATTAACTAGCAATCTAAAAAAAATCAAAACATGCAAAGCACTTTATTTTTGTTTCTATTCTGTTTAGGTCCAGTGAAAAGCAGAGACAACTGCACATTATTTGTATTATTGAGTCTGCAAAAAAGCCTACATAAATAAATTACAATAATCTGGATATGTCTATGTGCATATGTATTTGTTTGTCCTAAAGTTAATTAAGTATTTTAGGAAAAATTCTCAGGGCGGCCACCAGCAAGAGTTGGTGGCCGCACGCTGAGGCCGCCAAAAATATGTTGTGTAAGGTAATGTGGTTCAGCAGAGCACCTTAAGAAACTCAGCTGCTGTATCCTTCCCTCCCTCCATCCCAGCTTTAGCCCAGGACAGAGAGGAACTAGATCTTTGTTATTTAACAAGAAAGGTCAACCGGCAAGCCAGAGACATGCATTATTTAAGATTTGCTGGTTCACATCATGAACACTGGTGTACAAGGTGACAACAGTTCTCTATGAACTGCTACTCACTAATTGGTATGAGTAAGAGTAAAAATGGGTACAAACCCGTTTCCTGAGCAAAGAGCTAAAATCATCTGGATTACTACGGCTCAGAAAGGACCAGAGGAAGAGAAGGGTTCTGGGGAGCTACGGATATGAAAACATCAGGCTGTCCTGCCTCTGGACATCTGATTACACACACACCCTCTCCTAGCATAGACATCACAAACACCCCTCTCCTAGAATAGGTATCATCATATGACTTCATAGGAGTCCTACGTCTCAGCCCATCTGGTAGTGCTGCTAGCTAAAGACCATGGAGAAGATCATTTTTCCAGCCATACTCACAGTCATACTGAGAGGTTGATAAATTCAAATTAGTTGTTACCACTCAAGAAACAGATCTTGGAGTCATTGTGGATAGTTCTCTGAAAACATCCACTCAATGTGCAGCGGCAGTCAAAAAAGCAAACAGAATGTTGGGAATCATTAGGAAAAGGATAGATAATAAGACAGAAAATATCATATTGCCTCTATATAAATCCATGGTACACCCACATCTTGAATACTGCATGCAGATCTGGTTGCCTCATCTCAAAAAAGATATATTGGAATTGGAAAAGGTACAGAAAAGGGCAACAAAAATTATAGGAGTATGGAACAACTTCCATATGAGGAGAGATTAATAAGACTGGGACTTTTCATACTGGAAAAGAGACGAATAAGGGGGGATATGAATAGAGGTCTATAAAATCATGACTAGTATGGAGAAAGTAAATAAGGAAATGTTATTTACTCCTCATAACACAAGAAGTAGGGGTCACCAAATTAAATTAACAGGCAGCAAGTTTAAAACAAACAAAAGGAAGTATTTCTTCAAACAATGTACAGTCAACCTGTGGAACTCTTTGCCAGAGGATGTTGTGAAGGCCAAGACTATAACAGGGTTCAAAAAAGAACTAGATGCGTTCATGGAGGATAGGTCCATCAATGGCTATTACCCAGGATGGGCAGCTATGGTGTCCCTAGCCTCTGTTTGCCAGAAGCTGGGTATGGGTGACAGGGGATGGATCACTTGATGATTACCAGTTCTGTTCATTCCCTCTGAAGCACCTGGCATTGGCCACATCAGAAGACAGGATACTAGGCTAGATGGACCATTAGTCTGACCCAGTATGGCCATTCTTATGGGGGGCGGGCTTAGATGCTTATTTCTTTTTTAGGGTCACACAGACCTTTACTAGTAAACCCTTTGCCAGGATTTCAGTAGGCTTTACCAGCAAAGATCAAGTTAAGACCAGAAACATTCCTTATGCTATCACCAGTTTGGGACTGCTGGTTCTTGACCACAGATTTTACATATGAAGATCATTTGTCTTCTCCGCTTGAATGTCTCGCTGTCTGCTTTATTCATCTCCCCTCCCAAACACTCATCTTCCCCCGTTCTGTCACTGTTGACAGCACCACTCCCCTCCTGGTCTCCGCCCAGTCACCCAGGCCACACCCAAATTCTGCTGCTTCCTCCTCTTCAATATCACCATGAGCTGCCTTTTACTTTCCATCCCCACAGCTGAATCTCTTCTGCAGGGCCTCATTACATCCTATCTTCCTCTTTGCCCTCCTTAACATCCATGCTGCCCTCGCTTCAGTCTATACAAAATGTTGCAACTAAAGTTGCAAAGATTTTCCTTGATAATCAATTTGATCAGGTCACTCCTTTCTTTGAATCCTTCTGCTGGCTCCTCACCTTCTCTTGCAGGAAATTCAAGCTTCTTGTCATTACTTTCAGACTTCTAGGGAACTCTGTCCGCTCCACTTATTTTCACTTGTCTCACTTTGTGTTGTTCACATCTACCCTCTACACTCATTTTCCTACCTTCAACCATCCACATGAACATTTCTGCACTTTCTTCCTTGCTGCTTCATATGCAGTGCTCCCTTCCTGAGCCCATCTGCAAGGCTCCTACCCTGGCCACATTTACATCCTTTTGAAGATCCACCTCTGCTGTGCTACCTACAGCGAATCTAGTTCACATGTATATTCACTTTTTAAAAAATTATATGTTGTTTATTCTTCCTGCTGACCTGTCTTCTTGTCTATCTGTCCTTAGACGGTGAGCTATTTAGAGCAGGAATTGTTCCTGCTGGTCTGTCTCAACAGTAAGGGGCCTAAATCCTGAATGAAGCCAAAGAAGAGAGAAAGCCAAGAAAAATCCCATAACATAAGACAGCTACAGCAATTAGACCTGTTAGTGAGACGATGCTATTGACATTTAATTCTATTAAGGTTCTTGTACTGTACCCATCACCACAGTATCAGAGCACCTGACAACATGAATAATCCCATGTTGCTCTGCAGACTAAGATACATCCCCAGGCAGGTGACAAGATCAGCACTTATTTGACTCAAAATGACAAGGACAGACATAATCAAAATGCGGAAGGCCCTGTATTTTGTTTTTTAAATGCATCTGAAATTAAAACTATGTATTTACACACACATACAAGCCATATAGGTGGAGTGATATCCCTGTGCTAAATGAATTCCTACTACTCCTGTCCCACCTGGCATTTACTCTAACAGCTTCCAACAATGGCTTTTCCCCCTTCATCTCAAAAACAACCTGCCAGAGAAATGTTTCCACCTCTTTCTCCAGAAATGTGGAATTTCCCACCCAATGTCCAGAACAGGAAAAATTCAGCTGTGGATCAACAACAGCTCTTCTAGGCATGAAAATGCAAAAAATTTAAAGTCTTCTATTTCAAAACCCTGCAGGGTTAGAAATGAGAACTTTACTGGTCACGTTTTCAAGAGCGTTCTCCGATTAGATGTTCTCATTTTTCCCCAAAGTAGCGGATGCTACCTACATACATTTGTAACAAAGTTTACATATTTATATATACACACCCACACACACCAGCCGTTTGGAAAGGGAGATGACCTGTGTTCTAACAGGACATTAGCACCCAATTAGTACTTGCTTTTAAGACTGGAAAGTTCCAACATAACACCCCTGATATTTTTAAATATTAAAGAAAAAAAACTTTTTTATCCCATTGAGTCCAGTACAGCTGGGCTCATAGGAACTCAGCACTAGACTTCACAGGTGGAGGAACACGAAAAATATAGTCCCAATAAATTTTTTTTTTAAAACTCTGAAATATCCTGAAATTGTATTTGCTATGTGGCATAAACAGACTACATGATGGCATAGGACAGCATAAAGATTTTATCAACATGTGTTTGAGATGATCTACTTAACAAACCAATAGACTCATACATTCCAAGGCCAGAAGGATCATTGTGATCATCTAGTCTGACCCCCTGTATAACACAGGCCACCAAACGTCCCAAAATAACTCCTAGAGCAGATCTTTTAGAAAAACATCCAATCTTGATTTAAAAATTATCAGTGATGGGGAATGCACCACGACCTTTGGTGAATTGTTCCAACAGTTAATTACCCTCACTGTTAAAAATGTACACCTTATTTCCAGATGGAATTTGTCTAACTTCAACTTCCAGCCATTGGATTGTGTTATACCTTTCTCTGCCAGAATAAAGGGCCCATTATTAAATATTTCTTCCCCATGTCTATACTTAGAGGCTGTAATCAAGTTACCCCTTAACCGCATGAGTAATGAGACATCCCAAGCTCATGCTAATAAAACACTTGCACCACACCAGCATGTGTTCTCTCCCTCTCATTCATTATATATATTACACACACACAAATCTTATTTATTTTCTGAAGTCCTTACAATTCCTGGCCCTGTAGGGGCAATACCTTCAGGGCTACATACCGTTGCTGGAGAGGAGCGTGAAGTTAGTGACAGAGAGTGTCTAGTGTTTTCCATCCCCCCATGAATGAGATAGGCTCCCGAGCTGGAGAGGATCTGACTTCCCCCAATGTCCATAGTGATGCCCACCATGCTGTGAGAGGGAATGGCTGTAGGAGAGGATGCCACTGTAGTCACCTGTGCTCCACCTCCCTGCGGTTCGAAATAGGAAGCTGCGCTGCTGGGGGCATAAATCTGAGCTTCAGTGTTGTAGGAGTAGGCGGCTCGGCTGTCAAAGGAACAATGCGATTAGGATGTGAAGCACACACGAACGGAGAGGAGCTTAAATATCTAATTTCACTCTCACACTGGGATCTTCAGTAAGTTTTTTTTAAAAGCCTTGACTCCATTGCAGACGGGATTTGCTCTACTGAAATTTAGTTCAGATATAGAAGTCAATTGACAACATGAATCTCTCTGATGACAGCCCTGAAGCAGGCCTCAAGCCAGAGCCCTTTGGAACGTTTGCTTTGTCAGAGGGGGAATGTTGGGCACAGCACGACTGGGCCCACGAAGGAGCCTTCTGACAGCCTGGCTCTTCAGAAATGAGGGAAATTTTTCAAAAACACCCAAATGAGACTGAGGCCTAGTCAACACTGAAAAATGTTTGCTACCAACAAACCCTCAGTGCAGGCACAGTTTACATAAAGGCAAAAGAGGGCTTTTTCCGGTATCAATTCTAATAAGATAAACTGGCAAAATTGCATCTATACTGGGGCTTTTTCTGGGATAGAAATGTTGTTTTAAAAACACAACAACAAAACTTCAAAACCCTAACGAACACTACTATCCTAGCAAAAATTGCTATCGTAGAACTGGCCTGACGCTCCGAAGTGCCTAAGTCCCTTTTGAAAATGCGACTGACGTTTTTAAGTCATTTAGGTCTTTTGAAAATTCTACCCTTTATAGCTCAAGAATCTGCGGTAAATAGAGCTGGTTGAAATTTTCTCATCAAAATATTTTTTTTCAGTAAATATGGCTTTTTGTCCCAAAGTAAAGCTTTCGCCCAAATTTTTCATTTTGGTTGAAATGTTTCAGTTTTTCATTGAAAAACTAGAAATTGATTTTTTTTCCTCTTTTGGTTTTCCGTTGAAAAACTGAAATATTTTTACACAAAATTGTAGGAAAAGATTAGTTTTTTAAAAATTTCCTGTGACAAAAATTGGCTTTTTTGGGGGGATAGGGTGGGGGGGACCATCTCTGATAATAAGTTTCAGGAATTGGCCAAGAAGTCTAGTGGAACTGCCAGTGCCAGAGAATCCAATCTCAAGTTTACCCCACGAATAGCCACCATGCTCAAGAGAAGGGCAAGATGGGTAAGAACCAATGTCATCTATACTCAGAGCAACATTGAGACCCAGGGTCTCTACTCTTACAAGTCTGTCCAGCAGGGCACCCTCGCATGACGTGGAACAAATACAAGGTAATGCAATATGAATGCGCTGCATGAAGATATTTCTTGGGCTAAGAGAGTTGTTTTGGCCCTTGTTACGGTCCAGCACCACAGAATAGGTAGCAACCCACAATTCCCAGGGGGAAGGACACAAAGAGGCTTTCAAGTGGAAAAGAGAAAACCCTAGAAAGAACCTTCCTTCCAATTAGAATGGTCTCTCATTTATGTGGAGTTTCCATTTTTAAAACCCCAGCTCCCTAACAGATACAAAAGGGTTTGGAGAAGGAATATAGGATCCGCTTACATAGGGCATGTCTACACTTATCGGTAGATCGGCACTGCTGCAATTGATGCAGCAAGTGTCGATTTAGCGGGTCTGGTGAAGACACGCTAAATCGATGGGAGAGCACTCTCCCATCGATGTGCGTACTCCGCCTCCCGGGAAGTGTAAGGGAAGTTGATGGGAGACGTTCTATCAACACAGCACAGGGGAGCCACCGTGGTAAGTGGATCTAACAACGTCGACTTCAGTTACGTTATTCATGTAACTGAAGTGGAGTAAGTTAGATCGATTTAACGCAGTAGTGTAGACCAGCCCATAGAGTGAGCTCCATGTGGTTTAGGGTGGGATCTCCTCACACACACACAATGCCTCCAGCATCAAAGAAGCAGTATGGCAACTGCCACACCCATTAAACAGGGTAGTGCGTGCTGCTTCTCCTCTTGCTCACTCTCCCCTTTATGGGAGCTACTGCCAGCAGCAGCACTAAAATGGAGCAAATCTTGTTATGGGGCAAATGTAAGGACTGACCCTGTACCAAGCTGCAAGGTGGGTGTATGAAGTGGAGAATAAGGCTTTTTGTGTACTCTCTCTCCACCTTTCAGGGCAGACACAATTGTGCTCTGTCTCTCAAAGAAAGCAAAATGAACTTTTACATCTGTCAGGCTGGCATTTATTGGCCCTAGTAACGTGAATGACAGAGACTCTTACATGGTTCCATTGGTGTAGACAGCCTCTCCTCCTTCCACATACTGGACCTGGGTTGGGTACACATGCTGCACAGTTTGCACCTGAAACACATGTGACAATGCTGGGTTTATAGATGAATTATTGACAAGCAGTAATGGATGACACTACACACACAAGCAATTAGCATTTAAAAGGGCACTCAAAGCTGTTTAAGAATGAATATTAACTTTTAACTTTCTATTTGTCCTATTTTTGAAATGTATTTATTTTTTTAAAGGCCTCATTTTTTAAAATTTGACATCAACGTTCCCACAACTAAAATACACACAGGCAATTCTTTGCATAAACAACACTGTTCTCATAAAGAAAAGGAGTACTTGTGGCACCTTAGAGACTAACCAATTTATTTGAGCATGAGCTTTCGTGAGCTACAGCTCACTTCATCAGATGTATACCGTGGAAACTGCAGCAGACTTTATAGACACACAGAGAATATGAAACAATACCTCCTCCCACCCCACTGTCCTGCTGGTAATAGCTTATCTAAAGTGATCATCAGGTGGGCCATTTCCACACAAATCCAGGTTTTCTCACCCTCCACCCCCCCACACAAATTCACTCTCCTCTGGTGCTAGCCCATCCAAAGTGACAACTCTTTACATAATCAAGTCGGGCTATTTCCTCATAAATCCAGGTTTTCCACATCCCCCCACCCCCATACACACACAAACTCACTCTCCTCTGGTAATAGCTCATCTAAACTGACCACTCTCCAAGTTTAAATCCAAGTTAAACCAGAACATCGGGGGGGGGGGGTTAGAAAAACAAGAAAACAGCTACCTTGCATAATGACTTACACTCCCAGTCTCTATTTAACCTAAATTAATAGTATCCAATTTCAAATGAATTCCAATTCAGCAGTTTCTCCTGGAGTCTGGATTTAAGTTTTTTTTTTAAGATAGCGACCTTCATGTCTGTGATTCGTGACCAGAGAGTTGAAGTGTTCTCCGACTGGTTTATGAATGTTATAATTCTTGACATCTGATTTTGTCCATTTATTCTTTTCGTAGAGACTGTCCAGTTTGACCAATGTACATGGCAGAGGATTCTGGCACATGATGGCATATATCACATTGGTGGATGTGCAGGTGAGACCTCTTATAGTGTGCTGATGTTATTAGGCCCTGTGATGGTGTCCCCTGAATAGATATGTGGCACAATTGGCAAGCTTTGTTGCAAGGATAAGTTCCTGGGTTAGTGGTTCTATTGTGTGGTATGTGGTTGTTGGTGAGTATTTGCTTCAGGTTGCAGGGCTGTCTGTAGGCAAGGACTGGCCTGTCTCCCAAGACTTGTGAGAGTGTTGGGTCATCCTTTAGGATAGGTTGTAGATCCTTAATAATGCGTTGGAGGGGTTTTAGTTGGGGGCTGAAGGTGACCGCTAGTGGCGTTCTGTTATTTTCTTTGTTAGGCCTGTCCTGTAGTAGGTAACTTCTGGGAACTCTTCTGGCTCTATCAATCTGTTTCTTTACTTCTGCAGGTGGGTAATGAGTTGTACCCATCCGTTCTGTACATGCAAACACACACTTTGTCAGCACAACTACTTGTTTGGGCCTACTATGTGAATGCAAGTCAGGATTGTTTTAAAAAACCATTGGCTCTAGACAGTAATCTTTACAGAAGAGTGCAATAATTATTTTTTAATATTTATAAAAATAATTTTAAAATAAATCTCTCCCTAGACTCTATAAAGTGAAACCTGATGCAAGACAGGTGCCTAGGAGAATTTGATTTTAAACCTTAAACAACCATGAGAGAGTCTCCTTTATCATCAATCTAAAATAAGGAATAATCACGTGAAAGGACAGAGGAAATGGCTCTCCCTGCCATCTCAAGTTCTCTGGTCAGACACTGTTCTAGAAAAAATCCACATTTTAATTGATTAAAGAGATAGCCTATATAGTTTCAAGCAGCCCATGCTGGACATGTGGGTAAGGGAAGGGCTGCAGGTTGTGTTTGCTTTCAAGTGACTGAATGGCAATAGCATTTGGTCCCCCACTCCATTGATATTACCTGCTGTGAGACCTGCTGAACTCTGGGAATGGAGATCTGCTGCATCTGTGCTCCTTTGGGAGAAGAGCTTGTTGTTTGAACCAAAATCCTCTGAAAAAATAAAAAAGAGAAATGTGCATTTAGATCCAGTGTTACAGTTGGACCCAGAACACCCCATTCTGGCTAGGCCATTTCCTGCAATACACATACTAGAGGATTTGCTCCAAATCCCCAAATACAGGCAGCAGCTCCACCATACTTTATGGCTACCCACACACACTCCCGCTCATTAAAGCCTCCACACATATTCCATTTAGTCTAAACTACAGTTAAATTGGGCATGGGCCCAAACCCAATACCCTAAACTTGGGGAGAGCTCAGATGTGGATCCAAATGGTTTGGCTGGGCCCATCTTTAAGTGAAACTTGGTTTAAGCAGCCACCCCAGAGAATAGCAGAAACTGGTTGCTTAGTAAAAGCAGGTCTTAAAACAAAAGGTCAGCCACAACTATTGTGGAAAATCTCTGCATCTTTCCCCATGCCTGCATTTCTCCTATGCAGGGAAAACTCTTCAGAAGCTGCTACTCCAGGCCACTACCCTTTTTCAAAGTTCACTTCTGCCATAATCCCTACAAGGAACAAAGCAAATACATTTATTGATCTCCATTCAGTGCCATGATGAGCACTAACCCCGTCTGAATTCTCTCTTTTCAGATGTAGAGCCAATAACATTAAATTGAAATGCCATTTTTAATTCTGGATCCTTGAAGCCATTATTGCATAATTTGCCATGTTCAAACAACCATCGTACACTAATGTCAAAGTTGATTTTCCTACTGCTTCCTTTAATTTTTTCTCTCTTGTTATTCACGTGCAGAATCTAGAAGTGGGTCTGCAAGTTTAAGTCTGTCTGGAGGAGATTGTCCAGGACAAATTGCTTCAATCACTTCTTCAAATTGCTCTTTTTGTGCTACATTAAAGGTGATGTTAGCATAAAAGAATTTGATAGGAAGTTGAAACCTTTAAGTCTTTGCCTTTCAGTTGTTCTTAATGGCATAATCACAGATTGACCTGTGACATATTTGGACTGTTGATGATGAACAGAGATTGCTTTAGAAAGAAACTAATGTTGAAGAGCTGCTGGAAGGCCTGGAAGAGGAATGTAAATTTTTAGTGTGGGTATCTTTCGATGACATTTGTGGCATCCAAAATCGATGTTCCAGGATCAAACTAAATATTCTGCTCCACCAGAGCAATATTCTGCTATTCCTTTAATAAGCAATGTTTCTTCAGGGTCAAATGGGCCACTAAATTAATCTGAATAAACTGATTTACTAGACTTTTTCAAGAGAAGCATGATTCTTTTCTATCTTGCTGCTGGACTTTTGTAGAAGTTTACATTTTACTTAAGAAGAGTCATCTGTTTTCATTACTTCACTTCACACAAACACTTGATTCATACAGAAGGGATCAGTAGATCATCTAGTCTGACCTGCTGCATATCATGGGCCATTACATTTCACCCAGTTACCCCTGTGTTGAGCCCAATAACGTGTGTTTGAATAAGGCATAACGTACATATGGCTAAAGTATACCTTCCAGAAAGGCATCCAGTCTTAATCTGAAGACATTAAGAAATGGAGAATCCACCACTTCCCTTGGTAACTTGTTCCAATGATTAATCACCTTCATCAATTTCTATCTTATTTATCGTTTGAATTTGTCTGGCTTCAGCTTTCAGCTATTGGTTCTTGTTCTACCCTTCTCTGCTAGACTGAAGAGCCCTTTAGCACCCCGTATTTTCTCCTGGTGAAGGCATTTATACACTAATCTTGTCACTTCATTCTTTTTGATAAACTAAAGAGACTGAACTCTGCGGTCTCTAAGACCTTTTCTCTAGCCCACAAATAATTTTTGTGGCTCTTTTTTCCCATCCCCTCTCATTTTTCAAAATCCTTTTTAAAATATGGACAGCGAAAGTGTAAACAGTACTGGTCTCACCAATGCCATATACAGAGGTAAAATCGCCTCCCTATTCCAACTTACTATTCCCCTCTTAATTCACTGAAGGACCACATTAGCCCTTTTTGCCTCAGCATCACACTGGGAGCTCATGTTCAGTTGCTTGTCCACTATCACCCCTAAATCCTGTTCAGAGTCAGTGCTTTCTAGGATACAGTTCCCCATTCTACAGGTATGACCTGTATTCTGTGTTCCTTTGCCTTGGCTGTATTAAAACGCATTTTGTTCGAACGGGCCCACAAGCGATCCAGATGGCTCTGTATGACTGCCCTGTCCTCATCATGGTTTACTATTCCCCCAGTCTGTGTGTCATCCACAAATTTTATCAGCAGTGATTTTATATTTATTTCCACAACTGATGAAAAATGTGGAAGAGTGTCGAGTCTAGTACCGATTCCTCTTTTTGATGATGATTCCCTATTGACAACTACTTTTGAGATCTGTCAGTTAGCCAGTTCTTAATCATTTTAATGTGTGCTTGATTGATATTCTACTGTGCTAATTTTTTAAATCAGAATTTTGTGTGACACTATGTCAATGCAATACAAACATTTATTATAATTTAGGCTTGAATAAAGACTGGGAGTGGATGTGTCATTACACAAAGTAAAACAATTTCCCCTTGTTTATTTCCCCTCCTACTGTCCTTGTAAACTGCTGGAAATGGCCCACCTTGATTATTACTTCAAAAGGTTTCTCCCCCTCATCCACTCCCTGCTTTCCTGCTGGTAAATAGCTCACCTTTCCTGATCACTCTCGTTACAGTGTGTATGGTAACCCCCATTGTTTCATGTTCTCTGTGTATATAAAATCTCCCCACTATATTTTCCACTGTATGCATCTGATGAAGTGAGCTGTAGCTCACGAAATCTGATGCTCTAATAAATTTGCTAGTCTCTAAGGTGCCACAAGTCCTCCTTTTCTTTTTGCGGATACAGACTAACACGGCTGCTACTCTGAAATATATCTACGCAGTTACCTTTATCAACCAAACCTGTAATCTCAAAGAATGAGGTCAGGTTTGCTTGACAGGAGCTATTTTCCATTAAATCATGTTGACAGCATTAATTATATTCCTACCCTTTAATCGTTAGAATGAGAAACAACCTTCTGGTGAAATCAACACTGAAGATCAAAAAAATACAATGAACAGGCCAATTTTATAGCAGGACCACACTCTACTCTGCAAGTTGGGCAGAGCAATTTCAAGATTCTAGCAAACCAAGTGTCCAAGCAGTTCCAGCTCCATCCACTCCCCTCTTCAACATCCAATAATAGTTGATTCTACCCACTAGCTACACCTCTCTCTCCAATCAATCACTCCATCCTTCCATCTGTTCTGCATCCTTTCTGAACAGTTATATAAAAACTTTCTCATAGTTCCCTAAGATGCATAAGTGGACCCTCAATTTTCTCATCACTTCCTTTTAATATTCTCAAATACAATTTTCATTCACAGATTGAAATTAGAACCTAATATTTCTAGTATCACAAAAACTTTCAAACATGTTACATGTATGTAAATGTGTCAAAGCAATACACACTCAAAAAGTGAAGAAAACACCTCCAAAATCACCCCCTCCCTGCCAAAAAACCCCACTATGGGTTTTTTTTTCTGATTTACACACAAATTCTGCTGATTTTGATACATCTTTCAACTCCAGGAGATGCCTTTTTAAACAATGTGGTACAATTTGCATCTTTATTGCTTTTATTGACACATCAAATAATGACGTCAGGACACTGCAATGGAGCAAACACCAAATTGGCAGGAAAGCGTTTTCTTGGCAACACGGCTAAATTAAAATCCAAATCTCATGCCTTAAATCAAAGTGTGTTTTTATTACAAACATTTATATGGCATTTATCAATGTCATATCTAGGTAGGCTTCATCACCACTTACACACACACACACACATATGCACTCTTCAGGTTGATTTTTTAACAAAATTCTTTGAGCCAAGAGTTAAAGCATATTCTTCATTAAAATTAGGTTTATTTTCCATGGAGACAGCACTCACAGCCGCGGAGCTGGAGCAACGTTACCTGCTGGGAGGCTGGCACTGGCTGCACTACTGGAGCTTGAGCAGATGCAGAAGTACGCAGTGCCACAGACGTCGCTGAATCTGATCCGCCCTCTGAATTCTGCATGCTCACTGCCAGAGAGAGCACAGAGGAGATCAGATAGAGAAGAGACAACTTTACTAATTTACAGCTCTCAAAGAAAAGTAATCAGAGTCCAAAAGAATAAAATCCCTGTAGAGGGTCTATGACCTGTCAGAGAAAGGTAACCACCACCCTACTTGGAGGATTCTTTTTAGTTTTGGTTCTAATATTACTGCTGTATTATATTGAGATAAATTTACACAATTGTTCCACAGAAAGAGAAGGAAAGGGAAGGAGCAGAAAATGTGTTTCTGAATATAAATATAACAAAAAATCGCATTGGGGAATTATTGTGTCATAGCAGACGTGCAGCTGCTCCTCACTGGGACAGAAGCACACTCGAAGTACAAGAAATACAATCTCTTTCCAACCTGGGCTTAGCATATTTAGCTACCTCTAAGTGTTTAAATAAAGCAAAGTGCCAAACAACTTGATTCTATTCCCAGCAATGTAACCACGACACAGTGTGTTAAGAGCACTAATTCTCAACCTTTCCAGACAACTGTACCCTCTCAGGAGTCTAATGTCTTGCATACCCCAAGTTTCACTTCACTTAAAAACTACTTGCTTACAAAAATCAGACAAACATACAGAAGTGTCACCGCACACTATTACTGAAAAATGGCTGACTTTCTCATTTTTACCATATTATAAAATAAATCGATTGGAATATAAATATTCTACTTACATTTCAATGTATAGTATACAGAACAGTATAAACAAGTCATTGTCTATATGGAATTTTAGTTTGTATTGACTTCGCTAGTGCGTTTTATATCGCCTGTTGTAAAACTAGGCAAATCTCTAGATGAGTTGATGTACGCCCAGAAGAGCTCTGCACACCCTCAGGGGTACATGTACCCTTGGGTGAGAACCACTGTGTTAGAGCCATGCCACGTTGGACAGTAATATCCCCAACTGCAAAGGTGGGGATACTCTGACTAGAGCAAATTTTGTATAAAAAAAAAAATACAAAGTGCTCTTTTCTCTCTAAACTGAAAGCTTAAAATAAACAAATAAAAAACCCCACACTCACGCTCCCTTTCTGGTTTCTGATCAAAACCAAAGATTTAGAAATTCCAAATCTTGAGGTTTTGTTTTTTCTCTCTTCTTCCCCTTTTGCCACTGAATGCAACAGAATGAAGACTTCTGGAGTCTCTTTACACACAAACACTCTTTTTCATTCTTTCCTTTTATTTAGATCTGTCTGTCTGACACTCACTTTTCAACACGTCCTCAACTTTGGAAAAAAAAAAGTTTGAGGCAAAGGAAAAAAAATGAAAATGGAGGTAAAAATCCAAAACTCTGGATATTATTCATCTTATTGCACTCCATGACAAAGAGGAAAAAAGGAAAGCAGGGAGGGGGACACTGAATATTTAAAATAGTTGGAGAACTGAACAAGAGATGTTTCCATTTTGTGTGGTCAAAACAGAACAAACTTCAATATTTTTCAGAGTTATTTTTCCATTTTTCTAACCAGCTCTGATCCTGCGCAATCATGTTTTTTCTCTCTCTACTCCACCCAGCCCCAAACAGCTTGTGAGTCATTTTCTCTTCTATGTTCCTCCTGGACAGGGACAGGACAAGACAGGAGATACAGGAATAATATATTCTCAGCTCACTGCTCAAAACACAGCTAAAGAACCAAGAACCAAATACTGCAGAAACAAGAGAAAGCCAAGTCATATTCTGCATCATAGTTCATATCCTCTTCCTAGGCACCAAGTCATATATACCCTCCATTCTCCTTGGGAACAGTGCACAGAATAGGTTTGCATACAACTAGGGTGACCTCGTGTCCGGTTTTTGACCGGAACACCGGTCGAAAAGGGACCCTGGTGGCTCCAGTCAGCACCACCGACTGGGCCGTTAAAAGTCCGGTCGTGTCCTGGGGCCCCGCACTGTGCCCTGGAAGCGATCAGCAGGTCTGGCTCCTAGGCAGGGGGGCCACAGGGCTCCATGTGCTGCCCCTGTCCCGAGAACCAGTTCGCACTCCCATTAGCCAGCCCCTGGTCAATGGGAGCTGGGGGAAGCTGGTGTCTGCGGGCGAGAGCCACACATGCCGCAGAGCCTCCTGCCCCTCCCTCTGTCCCCACCCCGCCTAGGAGCTGGACCTGCTGGCCACTTCCGGGGCACAGCGTGGTGCCCCAGGACAGGCAAGCAGCCTGCCTTAGCCCCCCCGCTATGCCGCTGACTGGGAGCCACCCGAGGTAAGCCCGCACCCCAACCCTGAGCCCCAACCCCCTGCCCCAGCCCTGAGCGCCTCCAAACCTGGAGCCCCCTTGTGTACCCCAAACCCCTCATCCCTGGCCCCATCTCAGAGTCTGCACCCACAGCCCAGACCCCATACCCCCTCCTGCACCCCAACCCCCAGCCCTGAGCCCCTCAACCCGGAGCCCCCTCCTGCGCCCCAGAGCCCACACCCCCCAGCCGGAGCCCTCATCCCCTCCCGCACTCCAACTCCTTGCCCCAGCCCGGAGCCCCCTCCCACACCCTAAACCCCTCATTACTGGCCTTAGCCCAGAGCCCACACCCCCTTTTAGAGCCCTCACCCTCTCCTGCAACCCAACCCCCTGCCCCAGCCCAGTGAGAGTGAGTTAGGGTGGGGGAGAGCGAGCCACCGAGGGAGGGGGAGGGGGGCTCGGGTGTTTGGTTTTGTGCCAATAGGAAGTTGGCAATTCTACATACAACTCCATTATACCAAATATCTGCTGCTTTGCCTCACTGGCTGAATGTATTTTTGAAATGTATCTAAAAAAAAATTATTTATAAAAAGATTCCAGTTGCATCAGTACAATGTGACAAATTTATATATATAAAAGAATAATTCTCTCCCCGAAGTTAAGGAATAGCATCACATCTGTACTAGTCCTGGGGCCCACATTATTTGCAAGTAAACAGGTGGCCAGCACAAGACCTTTGGCGAAGAAGATAAATGTATACATTAATATAAACAGAGGAATAAACTGCCTCAAGGAGAAGAAAATCTCATTTGTGAGCTCCATTATAATGCAGTAGGATCACAAATGCACCTTTTTCTCATTTCCATTTTTCCTAAGGACTTTTCACAGTGCTGTATGTGACTACATCTCAAGCGTATAGTAGTATGTTGCTCCAATATCAAATTTCCCTCAATGAGCCTGATGCTTGCAAGGGATGCTCAGGACCTTGGCAGGGTCAGATCCTGAAGCACCTGGTCTATAAGAGAGATTTATAAAGTGAAGCTACAGTTGTAAGAGGACCAGGTGAAAGTGGCACCATCTCAAATATCTGCTTCTCCCTGTGCCTTCAACTCACATGTACTCACCTTTACTGACAAGTTTTTCTCTTCCAGTGACCCTGAAAATGCTAAAGGGTTGAGAGCTGGATCTTATTTTCCTCACACTTGCATCATCAGCATTGTCAGATTTGTTACAACTGCAGACTCTTTACTACTGATGATGATGCCATAAACACAGAGAACCCAGCTGGATTTTCAGATCCCAAGTGAAGTCTGCAGCACTGGCCATTAGAAAAGCCATTGATATGTAAAACTGAGCAAATGTGATTTGGAGCCCCAGAATGAAATTTTACATAGTGATTTTTTTTAATTGAGTGAAAACCTCCTTGGATAATTTCCACCTTCCTTCAAAGCTGTTCCATGCTTCTTGGGAATGGAAGAGGCAAATATGTTTATGCCTTCTGCTAAGATTCACTTGTGCTGCTGACAAGCCTAGAACATAAACAGAACTCCTACACTCAGTGATGACTCCTACTCTCTGAAGAGCTGTACACAATGTTGCCCTGTATCTTGGGAGGACATTTGCACTCACGGGAGCTGACTGTTCCAGGGCAGGGGCAAGGAGCACAACATTGAGAGCCAAAGAGGAGATTTTCAGAGGTACAAATAGGAGTCAAGCACCCAATTTCCACTGAAAGTCAATAGAAGCTGGATAGGTAACTCCCATTTATGCCATTGAAAGCCCCCTCCCCACCACCCCGTCATTTAGAGCTAATGCTATGTCTACACTATAGATCCTCTACTGGCATAGGTTTGTTGGCATAACTTTGCTAGCCCAGCCTGCTAGTGTAGACGCAGCCTATACCAACGGAAGGAATTTATCTGTCAGTGTCGGAACACCATTTCCTAGTGTAGACAAAGCCTGAGCGTTAAAGGGAAGAGCCTTGTCTTAGGTGCACCACCCTGATTTATGTCAACAGTACAGCTGCTAACTTCTCACCTAGCACTTTGGAATTCTGCTCACTGCTATGAAACTGATGCCTGCTACAAGTTGTACAGGGACTCGCTTTATCTCTCTATCTGGTTTCTGACCTGTACTCAGCACACCAATTCCATGGCATTCTGGATCAATTGCTCCTAATGCAGACTCAGTTGCTCAAATGTAAATTCTGCTACATGTCAATGATGCAAATTTTGCTACTATCCTTATTAGATTTGGCATAAAGAATAGAAAGATACACACAGCCAAGCCACATTGGCCATATGACCTTGATATCAGGAGGACACTGAAGTTAGCTATCAGCATAAAAGAGTAACAGAACTATTAAAAGCCGTCGATGGACCCTGGTAGCCAACTAATGAAGTGACACCTGTGCAATCCCATTTGTCTCAATAGATTTGTACAGGTGAAAATGATTTAACAACTGTAATTCCAATCAGTTGATGATGCATAAGAAGGAATAGAATCCAAAGCTGACTCTCTCAGCTGTGTTGGCTCTTGCATGGCTAAGAAGAGTAAAAAGAAGTCAATTATTTTTGTCAGTAAAATCAGCAGACCGGATTATGAGCACTCACACGGGGCACAACTCTGTAGTAAGAAGGGACCTTTTAAAAAATATTCATTTTCAGATTAAGGCAAGCTTTAAAACTCTGGTGATCCACCTGGTGATGCGACAATACCATGCTTGTGACATCAGAGTTCACCACTATGGAAGTGATTGGAAAGGTCTAAACTCCGGATTGCAACATCATTAAATGAATAAGGCA